CATTATATAATTCAACAAAAACACTTTAGAGTATTTTATATTATGTACGGTTAATGAGTTGACCACACAATTTATTTTACATACAGTAGTAATACGTACTTATTGCAGAAATGGTCTCTCAAGGGAGCCACAATTTGTCGGCGAATTTGTTGAGCAGTACACCACGTGCAAAAGAGCCCGATACTGATCAAGTAAATCCAAATAAACGGAGGGAAACCGTGCATAGCCGGTCCACGTTGTGACATCTTTCCCATGCTGCTTCGATTCTCCTAACACTTGTCCTAAAGCTGATTTGACGTGAAGTTTAACAGCTCAGAGAGAACTAGAAAGGCATAGAATCAGGCCATCTGCGCGGTGCAACATTAAAACTTGATTTGTTATCTGAGCTGTTTAAATCCTACTTCGTATATTATTTTAATGTACGTCAGTGAATGATTCTCAGTATTGTAGGACCAGGAAACTGAACATGGCAAAAAAATGGCACGCATGCCACCAACAAAAACAAAAATCCGTGACAAGTGAACCATCGTAAATACACACCATTTCCTGATGACGACAGTTCTGAAATCTGACACTTAAAAGCTATAATAGGAATAAACCAATGTAGTAATGTTGTTTTTTGTTCGAGGTTCCTCATTGTAAATTCTGTGTGGTGATATGGGTTTGCCCCTGACTTTTCCCAGCTGTGCTTGATTACGTAGGGGCAATGTTTACTTGCACCAAACTGAAAACGTGTATCCTGTAGACAAATCTGAGCACGCTAACAATTCTATTACGAAGGCCGCCTTCAATGGTGAAATCATTGTTCTATTGTTACGATAATCCATCCTTTCAGCTGCAGTTTACCCATAAGTTATAAGGGTGATCAAGTTAAACCTTTTTTGTGATTCTAAGTTGCGTGCTGAGAACATCAGGTTCACTGCAAACAAAATTTTCAAAAATTAACAAATGGGGAAATATCTTAATCTGGCTGTAAGATAGATACATTTATATAGGCCTATTCTCGTATTATTGCTCCGATAACATATCAGCCAATTTTTTAATGCAACAAAATTGTTAAATATCTGTTAGGCCTTCGGCCTCGTGGTATGTGGGACCATAGAGCTATATTAAATTACAGACGCACTACATTATTCCGTGTTCCACTCACGCTCCCGGGATAACTAATAATATGCAAGCCGCGCGCCAGCCAATCGGAATCGACTTTACTAAATGGTGACGTCATTTTCATAACTTAAATCAGGACTAAATGGTTTGATTGGCCAATTCGAATGCATTTTTTTTCGGGCGCGATATCGCATAACATGATACAGAGCGCGTGACATATTTTTTTTATCTATTGTCTTATGAGGCGCAACGGTTGAATGACCAAAGACCCGATAAAGAAAGCGCCCGCTGATTGGTCAAAATCAAGGGGATCAAGAGGCGGGGTCTTGCCTAATTAATAATCAGCGAATCTGTTCACGCACAATATACCATGGCTTTTTTACATAGACTATGCGGACACGTGATACACATATAAGCACGCTTGCGAGTGTACATCAGTGATCAAGTAATTCTTCCATATCTCCTTTCAATCGGACTGATGTGGCACCTCGTGTATGTTGCTTTAAATTCATAACTTGTATAAAGAACGAAGAAAAAAATTCAACCAAAATGTTTTCCCATAAATGGCCAGCTGACGGCGGTGGCACACAACCTTTCTAGAATTCTAGGTCATGCTGGTTTAAAGCGGATTCACCCATATCCGCGGTATTTGTTAGAAGTGTGTAAAATGATTTAAACTCTCGATGTCAACGTTTGCAGGAAAAACGGATCTTTCCTTTCTGCAGTGTTTAGACAACTTACACAGTCATGCTCGGGCTTGTGATTAGGAATGGCAATATTCCCGTTTGCTCTAGCCAGTTGCGGGTAAAGTATGGAAAGTTTGCGGTAACACCTGGTGAATGTTATCTCGTTTGAGTTGTGTGGTTCTGAGAACATCCAGTTGTAAAGAGATAATCACACGGTCTTACCGCAAACCTTCAATACTTTGTTCATGCCCACCATGCAAACCTATAAGTCTCAAACTTCGAGTCCCAGTCACCGCTCCCGATTCCGAGTCATGAGTCACAAAGTTCGAGTTCGAGTCTGAGTCCAAATCACAAGTCACCTCTAATATATATACACAATATATGAAACAAATGTTGAGGTATAGTGCTAAAACCTCACAGTGTAAACGTTTCCATGTTTTCACAGCTTTTCCCTAATTTAATGAACTGGAAATACACGTTTAACATGTCAAATAAGGCATTAAATACCATGTCTGGATAGGATAATCTGGTACCGAACACTATCAAGCTTGCATTCACGAAGTATCAAGTGGACGCTGGGGTACATGAAACAAGCCAGCCACACGGCGCTGTGTATATGTACAGTACTCAGATGCGTTTCTTCTGCACCGCACAGGAGAGGATCATCTTCAAAACAATTATAATTTATTGTTGAAAAAATAAGGGATTTGTGGTATTTTTGGTCGAGTCCCGAGTCACGCAGGACGAGCCCGAGTCCAAATCTGAGTCCAAATCCGAGTCCGCAGGGCCGAGGTCGAGTTCGAATCCGAGTCATTTGTCATCATGACTCGAGTCCGAGTCCGAGTCACGGAAAATAGGACTCGAGACGGAGTCCGGGTCACGAGTCATACAAGTCTGGGTAATGGACAACATTTTCTAAAAAAGAAAAGAAAAGTGTGTTGCTGATTCAGGGAACGACAATACAACTGAAGCAAGTTATTATAAAATACAAAATTGTCAAAACTTCAGCTCAGTGTAGATTTATTTTCTGAAAAAAAAAACTGTGAAAATGCATCGTCATTTTTCTCGAAGCAAAGAATAGGTCTCCATTGAAAGCACAATGGTTAATGGACGTAACCAACACGAGGGAAATGATGGCATTTCCTCTTTTCTCGAAAATGACATGCATCTATACTGCCGAAGGATTTCACAGGATGCTTGATCCTATTATTTACTTAGAATCAAATCAGGTATTTCATTGTATTTGGACAGTTTCGTTTTTGAAAGTTAAAATGTTAAAAATTGGTTCCAATGGGTTTGTGGTCGTGCCCATCACAATCCTAACTAGAAAGCACTCAGAGAACGCACACCTCCGCCAAGGCTAAACTATTTCCCGCCATTACACACATCACCAATGCTATGTGGTTTCTAAAACAAATCCCTAAACTCAAGTATTTTGTAGTTTACATGTACCCGTATATGCCTGTGTTGATCTACCTTTCCACTCCCCCAATTGTATAAAATGGTCTAGTCCATTGACCTGTGTGGTTGGATTAGGTGGGTGATGAGGCAAAGAGGGTCACCGGGTCACTGCCACGCTCACCAAGCGGGTCACACAGGGTGAACATTTTTTCCATAATGATGGCTGAAAAATCCCATTTTTTGCCAGTACCCATTTATACTCCTGCGTGGAGACAGGCAAGTGGGGATGAAGTACTCAGGGTGATCAAGTTAAACCCTAAACATCAGGTTCACTGCAAACACATTTTTAAAAAGTTAACAAAGATCGGGAAATATCTTAATCTGGCCGTAAGATGATTCAAAAATATATATTCTCGTACTATTGCACTTACAAGCACCACAGCATGTTTTACTGCAACAAGTGTTCAATTATTCTTGTACAGTTCCTGAAAAGACTTTTTCCGGTAGGCCTATTTGTGTGAACTATATACACAATAGATTATTTAGCCTACCTTCCTTTGCACTTTCGTTTTGTTATTTTCGTATCAGAACAGGAACCAAACTACGTGTAGGCCTACAATTGCAACTATAACCGCATAATGCACATGAAATATGAAGGATTCAAAGAAATGTAAGCACCAGGCGTGTATTCGTTTATACAGAAAAAGTATATGCAATTGTTATTCATAATCACCCCGTTCCATCAGTAACAAACTACAAACAGGCAGCAATATAGAACATAATTATTAAAAATAAAGAAAGATTTGTACATGACTTTGTTTTATGAAATGCATTTTTAGAAGGTACTACAATTTGTCTTTCTTGCCACATTTCGGTATGCTATTACATAATGTCGCTATAGATGACCTTTCACCGTTTGGTGGAAATAACCGTTTTCAATTTGAAATCGTACTTAAAAATGAATGACAAACATCATGATGGTAAAAAAGGACGAAGCAGTCCGGATGATAGTGTTCGTACGTGAAGTCATCGTGATCGTACCCGAGATTCTTGTTCCGAGAGCGGCGCCAGGGCATTCGCCTAAAGTGAGAATAATTAGTCATTTCCCCCTGTTACGAGTCAGTCTTGTTTTGCCGCAAATACATTTTTATTTGTCTGTCAGAGAGGACGCCCTCACTTGACAGCTTGTTTCCACTGCTCTTGGGTAGAGATAAAAGTACATGTACGTTTAATTACCGGTATGTCTTCGTATCCAGAGTTTCCGTATCCGTAGCGGCGCCCGTGCATTCGCTGATTGAATGATATGTTATTGAGGTTATTGATCTGAAACCTTTGTGTGACAATTAAAGGGAATTCAAGTAAATGCTCTACTGTCAGTATCTATATGGCTGCAGTTATTTTACAATGTCTTCTTTCCCATAATTAGCTGTTAGCGACCATGAGTTGATGACTTCACACGAAGTATTATTCAAATTCCCCCAAGTGATGTTGTCAAGGTTATCAGAGGTCATAACATTTCTTTTATTCCTGTTTGTTTGGTAGGTTCTTTTTATTTTTACGTATCCAAATTTGAAACCTATTGTAAAGCTTAAAAGCATTTTCACTATTGATCGAGATGTTTGAATATAATGCAAGAGGAAGCAAAGTGTGAACAGATCATGCCTGATTATCTCCGCGAAAGTTGAAAAATACAGTGTTGTCTTCCGTTTCTTTTTTACTGAATAGCAAAACACAGCCCTTCCCACAAAACAGAAATATGTAACAAAAGATGTAAATCCAAATAAAATATTCAATTTCATTCTGTCATTCTTTTTACTCTCACTTGTTAATTCTTCATTTTATTGGAACTTGAACAGATTTTTCACAATTATCTCGTCATATTTACAGTATCAGTTCAGTGTTGACAAACATTTTAGCCCACTGTGTTTCACCGTAGTTGTACCCAATGTGTAAGTTTTACCCAGTGTCTAAGTTTTACCCAGCGTAAGTTGTACCCGCTGTAAAAGTTTTACCCAATGTCACTTTTACCCAGTGTAAGTTTTACCCAATGTCAGTTTACCCAATGTCAATTTTACCCAATGTCAGTTTTACCCAGTGTATAAGTTTCACTCAATTTCAGATTTACCCAGTATAAGTAGCACAGTGATTGTTCCCAATACAGAAAGAACTTTCGCATTTAGAGTTTACCATCAGAGGGTAACATCTGTTACAAATGGTATGTGTAACTCTGGACATGGTAATTGGTACTTTTAACAAAAACTGCCACAGTTTTTATCTTTCTGAGTTTTGCTGGTCCCAGAGGGCCAGCCTATATATACAGCGTACAGTTCCCTTTGCATCTTATTCCACTGACTGACCTACTGACTCAGTTGGCATTGAAGAGTTTCCCAATTTTTTTTATTTTGGCATGTGGAGATGTCACTTGTGAATTAGATTTGCCTAATCTTCACCTTGGCCCAAAGTTTAACACCGACACCTCTTGCGTCTGAGACCAACTTTACTATGGGCTCACCTAATGGTTATACGAACGAGTGGTACTGCAGTTCCTTCCTCTACACACCAGTTGCAGACTCCTACGCTCGATGTGCAGCATTTACAGCATGTAAAGCAATCATTCCGAAAAACAGAAGTGACAACACCTCAACCACGCACTAAAGGACTATTCAAATAGCTTCTGTTCGTATACCCTTTTCAAATTATGTACAGTTGCTGTTTTAAAGCGAGGCCTCTTCAGCCTCGCTGCCACTAGTGGGAGCTGGCTTCGGAACCTCGTAACCAGAGTTCGCGTTCCCAGACGGGCGCTCAGGCGTTTTCTGCAACGGGAAATAAGTGTGGTCGTCGTCATCCTCTGGTGACGAGACAACTTCATTATGTCCGCCATCTTGCACGTTTGCGTCCTCATCTTTGTCTGCCTTTACCAGCGCAAAATAGTCGTGGTCGCTCGGAGCCTCCCTACTTGGAACTTTAACCGAGCCTAGCCCGTCTTTCACGTGGCGGGCGCTCTTTTCTCCTACGCCATCTTTGTCTAGGCTGGAGTAATAATGATATTCATCATTGTCTTTGTTCATTGCATTGGCTCCCCCGGTGTCTGGCCTCTGCCCGTATGCGAAGGAATATTCAGCACTGCCCAGTGCTGGTGGAGTTGGTATCGGTGCTCTTTTGGCAGCTAAACCAAGAAAATTGTTTTTAATAAATAAACAAACAAATAAATATAATATGTAGTTAATCCTGACTTAGTTTTTGACTTGGATTTTCATTTGATAATTGTATAAACGGTTGTGTTGGTGGATAGTTAATGGGATTTTTTATTACATGTATTACTTCCTTATTCAGAGGATTAATTCTAACTTTCGCAGATGTGTTTTCTCTTATGTGTTGTCGATTTCAAGCGCACTTACCCTGTACTTCCAACTCGGTAGAAGGCTCATTGGGGCTCCTACAAGTAAGAAAAACGTTAATACATTTTCGTTGGTATTAACATTTGATTTCCTGAGGTTGTGCTCGTGCATGTTTAAAATGATTCCAGTTCTCAAATACGATTATTGTTATCATCCTCATATTTTCAAATGAATCCATTGATACAAAACAACGGTATAATCGAATGTGTTGTGTATAAATTTCAATATAGTAAACTTGTCGGTTGAAAATCACACAGCAAATTAAAGTAAAGTTTGTCGTAACAGGTTCATTGTATCCAATACTAAGGACCATATTTGCCTACAAGGAAGTACAACCTGCTGTACAAGGGACCAATTAACTACAAAAGAATTTCTGGGTTTTACTCACCGATTTTTCGTCATGAAAGCCGGCAGTTTTCCCCTTCGTCTAAGATACCACACCCCGGCCCCAAAGATCACCAGAAAAAGCACGATGGATAAGACACATGCCAGGGCAATGGTGGTTGCATGGAAAAAACCACTACTGTCGCCCGGGCGCGGAGGGGTATGACTGGTGGGCGATCCTATACTGGTGGATTGGTCATCCGATCCTATACTGGTGGATTGGCTATCTGATCCTATACTGGTGGATTGGTCATCCGATCCTATACTGGAGGATTGGACATCCGATCCTATACTGGAGGATTGGACATCCGATCCTATACTGGTGGATTGACCATCCTCGGTGATCATGAGATTCACTTCTGTCGTTGGCCCTGTGCACGTAGACCTAATTGGGGGTAAAGAAGCGGCAAATATCTACTACACCTGTACTATAAATGATGCATCTTCCGAGATAGATCGCCTGTATTTGAGCACAGACCATAATTACTTTTTGCATAGCACGAAGGCCCATTTGAATTAAATATGTTTTTATAGAACTTTTATTTCAAACCAATTCTTTAGGATCAACGGTCAAAAGTAATTTAATGAGCTTGTTTTACTGTTCTTTTCCTGACGATTCCTGACTACGACTTAACCCAAAGTTAGTCTGGCTCCCCTCCCCCCACGTCTCTAGATCAAAAGTCAGGTAGACGTCACATTGAAATATGACGTAGCAATGACAGAAGGCTATTATATAGGCACGACTACACAATGGAGTTTAACAAGCCTTATGATAGGTGTTTTGATAAGTAGGCCTATGACCAATTCACCCAGAAATGCGAGCTTTAGCGAACATCAGTTCCTTCAGGGCAAAAGTGTTCGAAAACTTCGATTCGGTTTTTTTTGGGGGGGGGGGACCTAACAGAAGGCTGCCCCGTTAGACACGTGATATTGGTGCTTGGTCAATATTGTTTAAGTGGTCAAAATCAGTTTAGTCTAGTTCACAGTATTATGTTTTGCATTGTATTCAAATGCATGGGGTACACGACTTGAATTATTGTTACCTATTTTGTGCCCACTCAGCCCGATTCGTATCGAGTGGTCCCAATGATCCAGTGCAGTATGGGACTTGAATAGAGCAGAACATGAACACACATACATCTTTAGGGTTATCATTTCTACAGACTACAGCGTCTTGATAGCCGCAAAATGTGATGCTAAATCCTCCATTGCTGCAAATGTTGTCTGTGAGATAAAACAGACATGAACCCAAAAATAATTGCAGAAGTTCACACTGAATTTTAATTAACCCTTCAGAGTGGAGAATACACTCAAATCATGATTCTCCATTTTTTTTTTAATTCAAGTTACCTTAATTGTAACATTTTAATGTAGCTGTTTCTTTATATGAACATACACAAGGGGACAACAGTGGTTAGAAATACTGCGGGCAAATTATTACGGGGATTTTTTCTTAAGTTAAAAACAAAATATTAGACAGAAAGGGTAAAACACCGTTATAACAAGATCACGGTTATTAACTAGAAATGTTCATTCTTTAACTTACCCATTTCATTCCAGCATTGCCGGCGTTTTTTGCCACTCTTGCAAATTTGTTGACAAAGTGTACATCGCTGATCATTATTCGAATCAGACTCACAGTTAGACACTATCCCAGAACAGCTTTATAAAGGAAAACAAACCTGTTTTAGTTCGGATGTCGTTCATAACTCTCCAAGAAGTAAAGCAACTTAATTTGATTATGGTTCAACAAGTAAGGTTAACTGAAACATTGATATTTATTGTTTCACTTCTCCTTTTCTCTCTCAAGAAATGGCTATATCCAGAGAGAGGGTAACTAATTTAGTACATTGGATGGTACTTAAGTCAACCAAACACCAGCGCCTAAACTTTAAAAAATAGTCAAATTGTGACATTATATTGTTCACAAGCTTATTGGGCAATTTCTTGGTGGGTTACAAGATACCAGTAATGCATAATGTTCCCCGTGCCTTTTATCTGGGCTTTTGTTGAAAATAATAGTCTAATAGGTTATTTGGGTCAATCATCGCTTGATCTGAGTTCAAATGTAACTTGATTGTGCCTCTCTACTGAAGAATACACTCATCCCTTCGTAAAATTTCACAAATCAGGTTCAGACTCGAATAATATATTCCACACTGGGATAGTTTCCTTATGTAAACCTCACGTCGATTCTTCATGCACAGACATACACTAGCAGTTACGTTGGGCTTTTTGTGTGAAAAGAATATTGCCCACTATTGGGTTTGAGCTATTCCTTCCAGTAGTTTAGCTGTAAGATATGCCTATCATTGATGTATGTAACCCTTCATTATATAATTCAACAAAAACACTTTAGAGTATTTTATATTATGTACGGTTAATGAGTTGACCACACAATTTATTTTACATACAGTAGTAATACGTACTTATTGCAGAAATGATCTCTCAAGGGAGCCACAATTTGTTGGCGAATTTGTTGAGCAGTACACCACGTGCAAAAGAGCCCGATACTGATCAAGTAAATCCAAATAAACGTTGGGAAACCATACAGAGCCGGTCCATGTAGTGTCATCTTTCCCATGCTGCTTCGATTCTCCTAACACTTGTCCTAAAGCTGATTCGACGTGAAGTTTAACAGCTCAGAGAGAACTAGAAAGGCATAGAATCAGGCCATCTGCGCGGTGCAACATTAAAGCTTGATTTGTTATCTGAGCTGTTTAAATCCTACTTCGTATATTATTTTAATGTACGTCCGTGAATGATTCTCAGTATTGTAGGACCAGGAAACTGAACATGGCAAATAAATGGCACGCATGCCACCAACAAAAACAAAAATCCGTGACAAGGGAACCATCGTAAATACACACCATTTCCTGACTGACGACAGTTCTGAAATCTGACACTTAAACGCTATAATAAGAATACACCAATGTGGTATTAAATGTTGTTTTTTGTTCGAGGTTCCTCATTGTAAATTCTGTGTGGTGATATGGGTTTGCCCCTAACTTTTCCCAGCTGTGCTTGATTACGTAGGGGCAATGTTTACTTGCACCAAACTGAAAACGTGTATCCTGTAGACAAATCTGAGCACGCTAACAATTATATTACGAAGGTTCACTACAAACAAAATTTTTAAAAATTAACAAATGGGGAAATATCTTAATCTGGCTGTAAGATAGATACATTTAGGCCTATATAGCCCTATTCTCGTATTATTGCTCCGATAACATATCAGCCAATTTTTTAATGCAACAAAATTGTAAAATATCTGTGGGACCATAGAGCTATATTAAATTACAGACGCACTACATTATTCCGTGTTTCACTCGCGCTCGCGGGATAACTAATAATATGCAAGCCGCGCGCCAGCCAATCGGAGTCGACTTTACTAAATGGTGACGTCATTTTCATTACTAAAATCAGGACTAAATGGTTTGATTGGCCAATTCGAATGCATTTTTTCGGGCGCGATATCGCGTAACATGATACAGAGCGCGTGACTTTTTTTTTATATCTATTGTCTTATGACGCGCAACGGTTGAATGACCAAAGACCCGATAAAGAAAGCGCCCGCTGATTGGTCAAAATCTAGGGGGTCAAGAGGCGGGGTCTTGCCTATTAATCAGCGAATCTGTCCACGCACAATAGACCATGGCTTTTTAAATGGACTATGCGGACACGTGATCACTGTACACATTAGTATGCTTGCGAGTGTACATCAGTGATCAAGTAATTCTTCCATATCTCCTTTCAATCGGACTGATGTGGCACCTCGTGTATGTTGCTTTAAATTCACAACTTGCATAAAGAACGAAGAAAACAAATTCAACCAAAATATTTTCCCATAAATGGCTAGCTGACGGCGGTGGCACACAACCTTTCTAGAATTCTAGGTCATGCTGGTTTAAGCGGATTCAGCCATATCCGCGGTATTTGTTAGAAGTGTGTAAAATGAATTAAACTCTCGATGTCGACGTTTGCAGGAAAAACGGATCTTTCCTTTCTGCAGTGTTTAGACAACGTACACAGTCATGCTCGGGCTTGTGATTAGGAATGGCAATATTCCCGTTTGCTCTAGCCAGTTGCGGGTAAAGTATGGAAAGTTTGCGGTAACACCTGGTGAATGTTATCTCGTTTGAGTTGTGTGGTTCTGAGAACATCCAGTTGTAAAGAGATAATCACACGGTCTTACCGCAAACCTTCAATACTTTGTTCATGCCCACCATGCAAACCTATAAGTCTCAAACTTCGAGTCCCAGTCACCGCTCCCGATTCCGAGTCATGAGTCACAAAGTTCGAGTTCGAGTCTGAGTCCAAATCACAAGTCACCTCTAATATATATACACAATATATGAAATAAATGTTGAGGTATAGTGCTAAAACCTCACAGTGTAAACGTTTCCATGTTTTCACAGCTTTTCCCTAATTTAATGAACTGGAAATACACGTTTAACATGTCAAATAAGGCACTAAATACCATGTCTGGATAGGATAATCTGGTACCGAACACTATCAAGCTTGCATTCACGAAGTATCAAGTGGACGCTGGGATACATGAAACAAGCCAGCCACACGCCGCCGTGTATATGTACAGTACTCAGATGCGTTTCTTCTGCACCGCACAGGAGAGGATCATCTTCAAAACAATTATATTGTTGAAAAAATAAGGGATTTGTGGTATTTTTGGTTGAGTCCCGAGTCACGCAGGTCGAGTCCGAGTCCAAATCCGAGTCCAAATCGGAGTCCGCAGGGTCGAGGTCGAGTTCGAATCCGAGCCACGGAAAATGGGACTCGAGCTAGTCCGGGTCACAAGTCATACAAGTCTGGGTAGTGGACAGCATTTTCTAAAAAAAAATGTGTTGCCGATTCAGGGAACGACAATACAACTGAAGCAAGTTATTATAAAATACAAAATTGTCAAAACTTCAGCTCAGTGTAGATTTATTTTCTGAAAAAAAACTGTGAAAATGCATCGTCATTTTTCTCGAAGCAAAGAATAGGTTTCCATTGAAAGCACAATGGTTAATGGTCGTAACCAACACGAGGGAAATGATGGCATTTCCTCCTTTCTCGAAAATGACATGCATCTATACTGCCGAAGGATTTCACAGGATGCTTGATCCTATTATTTACTTAGAATCAAATCAGGTATTTTATTGTATTTGGACAGTTTCGTTTTTGAAAGTTAAAATGTTAAAAATTGGTTCCAATGGGTTTGTGGTCGTGCCCATCACAATCCTAACTAGAAAGCACTTAGACAACGCACACCTCCGCCTAGGCTAAACTATTTCCCGCCATTACACACATCACCAAGGCTATGTGGTTTCTAAAACAAATCCATAAACTCAAGTATTTTGTAGTTTACATGTACCCGTATATGCCTGTGTTGATCTACCTTTCCACTCCCCCAATTGTATAAAATGGTCTAGTCCATTGACCTGTGTGGTTGGATTAGGTGGGTGATGAGGCAAAGAGGGTCACCGGGTCACTGCCACACACACCAAGCGGGTCACACAGGGTGAAAGTTTTTCCATAATGATGGGTGAAAATTCCTGGGGGAAAAAACCTGCATCCAGACGCAGATCCGGATCACTTTTAAAATCTTATCGACCCAACGAAAAAGTTTCATGAAAATCCATCCATAACATAACTTTTGGAGTTATCCTGTTCACAGACAAGTTATCCTGTTCACAGACAAGCCAACGCCAGTGAAAACATAACCTCCTTGGCGGAGGCAATAATTGCATCACAAGTTAATCTCATGTAAATACATCACAGTTCATCCAGTCCGACACCGAAGCCAAGTCACAAGCCTTAGGTTTAAACTGTGACAAAGGTATTCCTTTGTTCTTGTTTAACCTCTGAAAAGTCTTGTGACGCTACTTGTGATCGGGCTTGAGATGGACAGGACTAAAACACTAGTCTTGTTTATTAGACAGGTCAGTCAAGTTTGCGATCGACTGGTCATTGTTTGAATTGGTTGTTCTTTAATTAGCACTTGGACACTCAATCATCCTTTCAGCTGTATTTTGCTCATATTATTAAGGTAAAGTAAAGTCTGTCACGAGCAAATGTGGCCCATCAGGCCGGCGTTTATCTCCAGTTTCAGTAGCATGAAACAACTGAGACAATTTATATCCCCCCTGGATGAAATGCCAGTCCATCGCAGGTTACTCCCCAGCTAATACCAGTACCCATTTATACTCCTGGGTGGAGAGAGGCAAGTGGGGATGAAGTTCTCTGGGTGATCAAGTTAAACCCTATTTCTGATTACAAGTTCGGTGCTGGAAACATCAGGTTCACTGCAAACACATTTTTTCAAAAGTTAACAAAAATCGGGATATATCTTAATCTGGCCGTAATAGATGATTCAAAAATATATAGGCCTATTCTCGTACTATTGCACTTACAAGCACCACAGCATGTTTTACTGCAACAAGTGTTCAATTATTCTTGTACAGTTCCTGAAAAGACCTTTTCCGGTAGGCCTATTTGTGTGAACTATATACACAATAGATTATTTAGCCTACCTTCCTTTGCACTTTCGTTTTGTTATTTTCGTATTAGCATGAGGCAAAATCAGAACAGGAACCAAACTACGTGTAGGCCTACAATTGCAACTTGCAAATGAAAAATGAAGGATCCAAAGAAATGTTAGCACCAGGCGTGTATTCGTGTATACAGAAAAAGTATATGCACTTTTTATTCATGATCACCCCATTCCATTATTAGTAACAAACTACAGACATTTCGGTACGCTATGACATAATGTCGCTTTAGATGACCTTTCACCTTTCAGTGGAAATAGCCGTTCGTTCGATTTAAAATCGTACTTAAAAATTAATGACAAACATCATGATGGCAAAAAGGACGAAGCAGTCCGGATGATAGAGTTCGTACGTGAAGTCATCGTGATCGTACCCGAGATTCTGGTTCCGAGAGCGGCGCCAGGGCATTCGCCTAAAGTGAAAATAATGAGTCATTTCCCCCTGTTACGAGTCATTCTTGTTTTGCCGTCAATACATTTTTATTTCTGTCAGAGAGGACGCCCTCACTTGACAGCTTGTTCCCACTGCGCTTGGGTAGAGATAAAAGTGCGTTTAGTACGTCTTCATATCCAAAGCTTCTGTTCGCAGAGCGCGGTGCCTGTGCATTCGCTGAATGAATGATGAATTATTGAGGTCATTGATTTGAAACCTCTGTTGGATAGGAGAGGGTTCATGTTGACCTTTGGACAGTGAGACTGCAAATAATGCTCTACTGTCAACATCTATAGCTGCAGTTATTTTGCAGTGTCTCCTTTCCCATAACTTGTCTTTTAGTGACCATCAGTTGATGACTTCACACTGTGTATCTTTCAAGTTCTCCCAAGTGATCTTTTTATGGTGATCAGAGTTCATAACAGTTTAAATTTTTTAAATTCCTGTTTGTTTGTTTTTACGTTTTTATTAAATTGTTGCATGTCGCATTTACGTGTCCAAATTCAAAAAAAAAATTAAGCTCAAAGCATGGACAAAGATTTGTTTTAATATAATGCAAGAGGAAGCAAACTTGAAGCGAAAAGTTGAACAAACTGTTGTTTTTCGTTTCTTTTTAATGAATAGTAAAATGCAGCACTTACCTAAAAGCTAAATACTAAATTTCACTTATATCCTTTTTATTCCCAAGTCTGGTTGATAATTCATTTTACTAGAACTTTTAACATAATTTGAACAATTATCTTGTCATATTTACAATATCAGTTCAGTGTTGATGAACATTTTACCTCATTATGTTTAACCAAATGTAAGTTTACCCAATGTAGATTTACCCAGTGTCAGTTTTACCCAGTGCCAGTTTTATCCAGTAAAGGTAGTACAGTGCATGTTCACAATACACGACAGGAAGACCATTCACATTAAGAGTTTACCATCAGAAGGTAACATCTGTTACAAATGGTATGTGTAACTTTGGCTATGGTAAGTTGCTTTTAACAAAAACTGCCACAGTTTTTATCTTTCTGAGTTTTGCTGGTCACAGAGGGCTAGCATACAGTCCCCTGACTGACTCACTGACTCAGTTGGTAGTGAGGTGTTACCTGTTATTTTTTTTTTGCATGTGAAGTTGTCACTTGTGAATTAGATTAGTTGGCCCAAAATGTGACTCCTGTAACTACCTAGACCCCTTAGAACAATTGGTATGAGACCAGGTTTACTATTATAGTAAAGCTGGTATTCTAGGCTCGTCTAATAGTTATGCGAACGAGTAGTATTGCAGTTTCTTCCTACCCTTTAACAGGATTTGGAACACTTCTAGCATAAACATTGCTGTTGCAACAGATTCAGTTGGAGATCATCCCCTTTTGAAATAAAGCTTGAGAGTTCACCCATGGTGGCGCGCTTCCGGAATCCCTTGAATACGAAAATTAACGTGCAAAATTTTCAAAATTCGCATTTATTTTTGGTTCATTGATTTCTTGAGAACATTACCTCCGAAAACGGCCTTTGTAAAACTGTTACAAGCATATCCATGTATAGCGATAAAAATGATGAACTTACTGATACATTGCCTGACATGAAAGAGAAATATCGTAGCGAAAATTGACCTCTCGTATCCAAAATTTTTAAATACATACGGATTAATGCAACTTAAGGATGCATACCCCTAAATCGGCGAACGTTGAAATTTCTGAAATTTGTGGTAGGTGAAAACTCACTTGTATATAAACAATTTAAAAAAACAACTAAAATTGACCGTTGATAGAACGTACTGCACCATCGATCTGCTCAAGCCAGCCCCACCAGATCTAGAACCCATGGGCAGTAGGTAGGTAAATCTTCGTGCACGAACAAGGAGACCTAGGATCCACAATGTCGGATGTGAAAGGTCGTAAGTGAAATTCGTTTTTACCAATCTGTAAGTGACGTTCGTCAGTGTTACTTGAACGATAGACCTACCAAGATAAAATTCCAACATGAATGGTTCTTGCGGTGATGATGGTTAGAAATAATTCTTCCAAAAATGTCAGCAGGTGAAATGGCAACCCAATGTTAAATGTCCATAGTCGGGCTGTGCTCAAGGATTCCGGAAACTAAGCCGCGTAACCTGTCCGGCTCTTTTCATATGTACTAGGTACATGTACAGGGTCAGTCACACACAAAAAAGCCAACGGAACACTTCCCCCCCCCCAAAAAAAAAAAAATCATATTCTAAAATATGCAGCACCAAAAATAATTTTGACTGGTGAGCCAATTTCATACATCTTTTAGATGAAAAAAAATACTGAAATTGCTCAATCCTTTCAAAGTATATCACCATTTAAACGCAATGACCCTAAAACATCTTTCGTCCAAAATGTGACTTCAAGAATCGTTGTCACCGGTGTCTTCACCAGCTATACGAGGTGAGTAACAAAAAACGAAACCCAAATGTCGGGACTATTGTTTTAGTGAAGTTCTGCATGTAGCACTTTCAAAATGTAGGATATGAAAGACCAATCAATAAGCTTTCTTTTAGTACAAGAATCATTCAAATTACTCATGTTCTTTTCAAGTTTTTTTAAAACACAACCACCGTTTTAAGGTTCTGTCCACGAATCACAAAAAAGTTCAGTGTTCCTTCAGCAAAACGAAAACAAATCCCATGGGGATGTGTGTGAATTGTTTTTGTTTTGCTGAAAGAACGCACACCTTTTTGTAATCCGTGGACAGAACTTTAAAACGGTGGTTGTGTTTAAAATTCTGTATTTTGAGAAGCAAATGAGTGATTTGAATGATTCTTGTACTAAAAGAAAGCTTATGAATTGGGCGTTCATATCCTAGATTTTCAAAGTGCTATATGCAAAACTTCACTAAAACAATAGTCCCGACATTTGGGTTTCGTTTTTTCTTTACTCACCCTGTAAAACCTCATTTGAAAAGGTACAAATATTAAACAAAGTCGTTTTGAAGGCCCATCTTTTAAATAAAAGTTGATTTTATAAATCCTATTGTTTGCGTAAGCACGCTTTTTATAAAGATATGCCTGTTGTGTACTACAGTTGTGGACAGTTGTTGAAACAAGTGTTATGTGTCATTCTCTTAGTTATTCCAAACAGAAGAAACACACAATAAATTGCTTTTTTTTCTCGGACGAAATAGGTTTTAGGGTCATTGCGTTTAAATGGTGATACTCTTCGAAAGGATTGAGCAATTTCAGTATTTTTTCCATCTAAAAGAAGTTTATGAAATTAGCTTTCCAGTCATTAGTTTTTTGGTGCTACATATTTTATTAAATAATGAAATATATGAAATATATTTGTTGGGTTTTTTTTTTTGGTGGGGGGGGGGGGTGGATTCCGTTTTGTTTGACTCACCCTGTAATTAACGGTTACTGTTCCGCTTTACACTCGACGGTAGATCTGTGTGCAAGTTAGTCCAGCTACAACCAGATCACCAGCGGATGACATTGTGATGGCAAATGTAACACAGCATCGATTAATCGCAACTCCATTGTACTGGCCATCAGGAGTGTAATGCACAATATCACTTGATCCTACATCATCCAAAGCAACATACACGCTGCCATCATTGTCACAACACACATCGGTAGGGTACGCATCTCTCTGCCTGTCATTTCTTAGGTCAACTGAGAATACACTGGCACCATGGTAGTCTACCGATAGCAACCGTGGTTTTCCATAGTTAGTGTAGATAAGGCGGTGGTCGAAGGTGACCAGGTTTCGTGCAATCATTGGAGCAGGCAGTCTCCTGATGAGGGATCCATCTGGGTTGTGTAGAGATATCTCATCCTTGTCTTCATAACCCACTGCTATCAGATTGCCGTCATCCACTGCAAGGCATGTTGGTTTGTCTGACCCTCTACCTGGTGTGAACTGATGGAGGAGCCGATGTTGCTTATTGAAGACCTTCACTACTGCACCGTCCAGAGTAAGGAGCTTGTCATCCTTGCTAACTGCAATACACCTTACTTCTTTAGTGAAGTCACTGATTTGTATTCTTTGTGGGATGGGAGGGGATTCGTGTTTACATTTTGGCGATGTGATGGAAAACAATGCATAATTTCCAGAGTCGAAAATTACTATTTTATTGTTAGAGAGTGTTCCAACCTGGTTAATATATAAACAGCCAACGAATTGATGTACATGTATTACAGTCTTCAGTTCCCATTTATATTTCACACATGATCTTGCAGGTCTTGGTGATTGCTTTGCTGCAGCCTTTGGCTCTTCCTCCAGAACGAGTCTCCCAAGTGACCTCTCACCTTCTTCAAAGTCCATGAAGGTCAACTTGTCAGGAACTTGCTGTGGCTGCTTCCCTGTCAATTCACTGAGGTTATGCAAGAGCTTCTGCTGATGTTCAAGAATCTCATAGCAACTCGCTTGATCCGTTAGATGTTCCACCTCATCCAGCTTCTGCTCTGTCTTGGTAACCTCTTTTCTGCTGTGAGCTTGAGCTGCTTCAAAGGCTTTGGTTCTTTCTTTATAAATCCTGTCTATCTCTTTGGACAATTTCTTCTCCTCCCGTCGAGTCTTTGCAATCTCCTGTCGAGCCTTTTTTGAGATTTTCGTCTTGGTGGCGGCAAACACGGTGTCCAGCTCTTTTCGGGATTCGCTTAACTTTTGTATGGCGGTGTTCAGTTCTGTTTGGCTGGCATGTGCTTTTACAACCAGTTCTGTGACTTTTCTCTTACACTTATCTACAGCCTCTGGTAGTCCACTGAGTGAGTGTTTTGCATGATCAAGTACAGAGCAAGTTGTGCATATGACTTGCTCACATGAATTGCAGTAGACATTTAGATTCTGATCTGGATGCTTGCCACATTTGGGAACTTCTTCTCTTAGTTTACTCTTGTAGACAGTCTCTCCTGATCGAAGTTGAGCCAGTGTATAGATTTTGTGAGATTTCATTAATGTCATACGTCCATGTGCCTTTTGACATTCTTGACAGAGGAAATGATCACAGTCCATGCATCTTGAAGTGGCCTTATTCTCCTCATCACAGGCTTGACATTTGATCTCTGAGCCTTGCCCGTCCAGTAGCTTTTCCTGCATTGTAACTTCATCCACCAGTGCACTGAATGCAAAGTTATTAGGGAGATCAGCAACCCCAGAACCTTTCAACATGGTTTCACGTCTGCACAGAGGACATATCAGCTTTGTACCACTAGGATCTTGGCTCTGTCTGAGCTCTTGGAGGCATTGCAGGCAAAAACTATGCAAACAGTCCAGCAGTTTGGGCTGCCTGAAACGGTTGGTGCAGATGGAGCATTCCAGATGATCCACACTAATCTTCTCCAACACTGATTTAACTGTAACATTAGATGCCATCTTCACTGTTTGGTTTGATGTGATAGGTGCATATAGACCGTTAACCTGCAAATAGAGCACATTGGGATTTATTTAAACTTCAAAACTTATCTTGCATATATCAGCTTGTAAAGACTGATGCATATACTACAAGTGCAGAACTTGTGTCATTTAGTCAGGTGGCATATGGTCGGAATCGTGACCGACTGGTCCAAAGCACAAAACTTGGCAGATAGATTCTTATAGCCCTAGAGAAGATATTTAGAAGGGGTGACACTTGAAATTCTTTTGGGAAGGGTGCCTAATTTGCATAAATCGTTAATCCCTGCCGTGTAATATATTTATTCCCATATCTGGGTATATTTTTGTTTTTTTATTTTTTTGAAAAGTGTATTTTGTGATTCTACTTGCATATTCTTACTTCAATAACATTTTGTAAAACATATAAGTGACTGAATAATTAGAAGGACATAGTAAAGAACCACAATTGCTACTATTTTACCCTACAGTTACGCGCATTTACCTTTTCCTCAGATATCATCAACTAGTCTCGCCAAACGTGGGTATCGATGAGCTTCAAATTAACAAAGTTACTTACTGGCATAGTTACCCTTACAAAAATAAGTGGGAAATTAAGTGAAAATTGATAACATTTTGATGCTTAGCCCAAAAGACCAAAAAAGGGGAGAAAATGTGGTGTCCGTAAATTGGGCTAGTACGGGAAGGGTAACGTGGGAACTTAAACAAGTTCAACAAAATCCCCCTAAATAAGAGATTGTTGTTGTTTACAATAATTTTGTCTACGCCAAAACGTTTTCTCAACAATAATTAGGGGAATTTCCTTGAACTTGTTCCAGTGTTCCATGTTAGGCAACCATTCACCTACTTGTTAGCCTAATTTATGGACACCTCGTTTTTCCCCAGTTTTTGTTTTCTGGGCTTAATATCACAATGTTATCATAGTTCACATGATTTTGCATAAGGTTTTAATAGGGTAGCTGTACCAGTAAGCTACTTGGTGAATTTGAAGTTCATCAATGCTAATGTTTGGCAAGACTAATTGATGTTATCTGGAGACAAGGTAAATGCGCGCAGTTTTAGGTCATAATAGTAGCCATTTTGGATCGTTACTATGTCCTCATAATTATTCAGTCACTTATATGCTTTGGAAAATGTTATTTAAGTAAAGATATGTAAGTAGAATCCCAAAAATACACTTTTCAAAAAAATAAAAAAATGGAAATATACCCAAATATGGGAATAAATATGTTACACGTCAGGGATTAACGATTTATGCAAATTAGGCACACTTCCCAAAAGAATTTCAGGTGTCACCCCTTCTAAATATCTTCTCTAGGTCTATAAGAATATATCTGCCAAGTCTGGTGCTTTGGACCAGTCGGTCACGATCTTGACGAAAATTAGATCTAAGCCACCTGACTAATTGGGATTTATTTAAACTTCAAAATTTGTCTGGTATATATTAGTTTGAAAAGATGATGCTTATACTGTAAGTTCAGAAGTTGTGTCAAGTTGAGTATCCAGTAATTGAAAATTTGTCTTTGTGATATAAGCATAATTTATCCTTGATGTTAACGTTTTTACACAAGGCACCGCACTAATAGGATTTATTACTGTACGATCAGACGAAAGCGGCATGAAAGAAACGTGTTTGGCTGCGTTAATTGTGGCGTTGTGTCGCCGAAAGGGAATCTTTTAGTACTAGTCAAGTCCACCTTAAGTCCCAAAATAAGGTCACTGTACCAGGCGATGAGCGACAAAGAATGCATTTGAGCAGTTTGTAATAATTCTTGTGACTTGATTTGGTACATGCAGACAATCTTAATTAGCCACTTATTTCATTCAAAAATATGAGGTTCGTGGGTGTATCCTATTTTTGCGTTATCGCGACATGTTCTACATGTATATACATTAGGTAGGTCCCTCATTGACAAAAAAAATTATTCATAGATATGCGAACATTATGGTACGACTCAACTTGGTCGTCGGTTCCAACACATATGTTGGGCCTGTCCCAGCTTGAGCAGTCAAGTTGGGCAGGCCCAATATGGGCAGCAACATCTTAGCATACCTGTGAGTAGCAGCGCCCAATCCAAGCCTATAATAGGCCTGCACAACTTGAACGATCCACCGTGGCCCAAGCTGGCACAGGCCCAACATAATGTTGGGCCGGGACCGACAACCAAGTTGGGGAGTACTTCAGGGCGTACACGGTTTTTGGTGAGTTAGAGGAGTTCTTTGGCATCACAATTTATGGTCCTATAGACAAGCTTTAAAAAGTATAGGCCTAGACAGACTTAAAAAAACAAAGTTTACCTTCAGATATGCATGAAATCAGCCATTACGCTGCCCATTCTGGTGTCCCTTATACAGTTTTGAACTTGTGTAAAGTGAACGAAGATGGCGATCTGTGTATACGCCTCTCTGTATCAACAGACCACGTCACCTGACTGGATCCAGCTTAAGTAAAGGTTTGGTGTACGTGCCTGTAGTTATAATGCAGTTCACATATACAACGTAAAGACTGCAGCTGTATTTTTTTATCTAATGGATGCAAAGGTCCCGAGCTGTTTGTGTTCTGATAATTAGCAAGATGACATACAGGTTTATCAGGGCAAGCATAACAGAAGCCAAAGGTCACAAATTATACAGACATTAGAATCTGGCTGTTATCGCCACTGATAGCCTAACGCTCCAGAAACTTTTATAGGCCTATATGACTCCGCCGGAGCAACGCGGAGCTACGCTGATCACCGCGGGAGCCGCCAAGTTGTTGACTGTGAACTCTAGTGTTGCACCTCCGGAAACGCGCTTTGCCGGGAAATAGGCCGTATAGACCTTTTTATTTGGTAGTGGCATGGTCGCGGCTGCCGCAAGCGCATAAAATTGAAGCCGTGGTGGGCAACATATTTTTTCCCACAAAAAAAGTCTCCATAACACCCGCATTACATTAAGAAACAGGTATGTTTAGGAAGTATTTTGTATTGCGTTTGTGCCAACCACGCGTTGGCGATAGAAAGGGACATTACGGCCTGGAATGGCCCATTTGGGCTACAAAACGTGTTTATATTTGTTGGAAAGAGCATTTCAAAGTAGGATATAACCGTCCACACAACCATCCTTTAATAATTCTTGCGAGAACGAATTTTGGGGGTCACATGTGCTTTTTGCGGACGCGAAAGAAACTACGTTTGTGTATAGGTGCTGCACACAAGTGTATGGTACATTGAACACACACTACTTGAAATACGTGTATGCCACAAAACGTCCGTCGTGTCCGATGTAAACAACCGGGTTTTGTTCGTGTTTTCTCGAGAACGGTAAGACATTTTTGTTCAGTTACGCGGGAAGGGCTTGGCCAGACAACAGGGCGGGTTAAATGTTATACATTGTATAAAAGTTGTTGACTCTGTTGTAAATTGTCTAGCCAGGGGGCATATGAAAGACGATGGAGCTACAGCTCCATGGAAAGACTGAATTCGGTGAGTGAGCCGTTATCGAGAAAAAGTTGCTGATGCTGAAGTTGAAATCGGCATGTTGCATGTTACATGTGATATTCGTTTGTTTTGTATGCATTTGGCCGACGGAGCAAACAAGGACCCGGTAGGCGTATAGACAAAACGTTAATACAATAATTATAATATTTTGCCATGCTGTCTGTAGCAAGTACCGGTAAGCAAATAACAAAACAGGTAGCCCTTAACTACATTTTAATATACACAGGCGTAGTTAGGCATTTTAAACAAGGTGGGCAAGTTTCCTTCGTCTAGGATTAATGCGAGCGTGGAGCACAAAGCCCCGTTTTTTACGGCGCCAGGGGCCATGAGGCCCCCTCAAGGGCCCGGAAAAGTTGGATTCTAGACGCTCTGTGGTACATAAGTGAGGCGATTCCTGGCCAGTTTCCCCTGACTTTTTTTCAGCAAAAGTTTCAAAGAATATAAGGAGAATTGATTTCATATGTCTTGCTCTTGTATTTTTCTTTATTTACTCTAAGTTGAAAACCATGTATTTCCATGGCCCACTCTTGACCTGAGTCCACCTGGTATTTGCGTTGAAGGGACGCGCACGCAACCGGATGCAGCTATTGTGTATGATGGGGAAATGGTGAATAGTATGCTTCCTCAATTTAATTGCTTGTGTTTGAACAGCAGTTTGTTCAATGTTACAGAGTAACTAAAATGTTAAAATACAAAGTAATATAAAATAAAGGGATATCATAATATTTTTTTTATTTACTTCAGACTGACTTGCAACATCACACATGTCAAAAATAAGAGGTTCAGTTGCGATAACAGATCAGCTTCAAATGACCCTGCAGCTTCTGTTAGACTGTTATATATTTGATTTGCCCATCCGATAAATATGCTTGCTATAATTATACCAGACATTTGGAAATTTTGGATCCAGTAGCCGGAAAAAAAAATACAGCTGCAGTCTTTACGTTACATTTGGATAGAACTATGTACAGGCTCGTACCAAACCTGTACAATCCGAACTATCCAGGGACTGCTAATGACCTATAACATGTACGCGATCAAATTTATGTGACGTGGTCTGTTTGACCATAAATTATGGAACAGATCGCCATCTTTGTTCATTCACACTGCAACGCAACACGGAAGCGACATTTGTCTTCCTCCATGGACAGAGCAACGGCTAATTGCATGGATAATGGATATACCTAGAGGTAAACCTGTGTTTTAAAGTATATCTCCTCGATTAAAGTCTGTCTCAATTGAGACCCATGTAACTGGGGTGCTGAACCTTATATTTGTTGTTGATATTAAGCTTGCGACATCGGCCTAGTACTTAGTACTAGTGGGAACGACTGGGCCAAGCCAAAATGTTGTTTAAACAAAATGGAGTTCTTTAGCACTCCGGTTACCTGGTCAAATGCAACAAAAATGCTCTAAATCACCATCTGCATGTACTTTATATGAATTGGGTCTGCATGTAGTAATATGTTCGTATAATTATCTTTGACTATTTTGTCAACTACATAAACATGTCCAACCTATCACGATAATAGTATACAAATGTGGATATTTTCTCTCATAGCTGTTTTTGACATTGTGAATTGCTCATTGATAATGTGTCTGCACAAGTAATTTTGAGTCAAGTCAGGTCAAGTCAAGTCATGGTTAAGCTATCAACAAACTGCTCAGAGACACTCTTTGTTATGGCATCGTCTGTTATCTGTGACCTTATTTTTTATTGGGACCTGTACTTCACTACAACTTCCCTTGGCGAACGTAAAAACCGGCCACAACACAGCTGAAAACGATTCTTTCATGCAACATTTTTTGGGGTTAACATCTGCTCCTATACGTGTAAATGCTAAAATAATGTGACTAATTGTTGTCTTCTTTCATGTGAAAAAAATCTTATATTAAGATTGAATCATGCATATTCCTTGGATTATGGAAACAAAATTTCATTTTTTGATTACTCAACTTGACAAAGGCTTACTTACGACAAGCAAATATCATCATTTCACAGTCACAGGCTAATACGCAGGCCAAATTATTTTGAAGTTTAAGTAAAATGCAAAATCCCTTACTTATTGTTCTTCACTGCAGATTAAGGGACTATCATTCCCTATCACATGCAAATCAAACAGTGAAGATGGCATCTAGTGTTACAGCTCAATCAGTGTTGGAGAAGATTAGTGTGGATCATCTGGAATGCTCCATCTGCACCAACCGTTTCAGGCAGCCCAAACTGCTGGACTGTTTGCATAGTTTTTGCCTGCAATGCCTCCAAGAGCTCAGACAGAGCCAAGATCCTAGTGGTACAAAGCTGACATGTCCTCTGTGCAGACGTGAAACCATATTGAAAGGGTCTGGGGTTGCTGACCTCCTTAATAACTTTGCATTCAGTGCCCTGGTGGAGGAAGTTACAATGCAGGAAAAGCTACTGGAAGGTCAAGAGTCAGAGATCAAATGTCAAGCCTGTGATGAGGAGAATCAGGCTATTTCAAGATGCATAGACTGTGATCATTTTCTCTGTCAAGAATGTCAAAAGGCACACGGACGTATGACTGTCATGAAATCTCATAAAATCTACACACTGGCTCAACTTCGATCAGGAGAGATTGTCTACAAGAGTAAAGAAGTTCCCAAATGTGGCAAGCATCCAGATCAGAATCTCAATGTCTACTGCAACTTATGTGAGCAAGTCATATGTACAACTTGTTCTGTTCTTGATCACGCAAAACACTCTCTCATTGGCCTACCAGAGGCTTTTGACGAATGTAAGGAAAAAGTGCAAGAACTGATTGCAAAAATTGAGAAAAGTAAAACAGAGCTGTACACCATCATACAAGAGTTATGCGAATCCCGCAAGGAGCTGGACACCATGTATGCCACCACTAAGACGAAAATCTCCAAAAAGGCTCTACAGGAGATAGCAAAGATTCGACAGGAGGAGGAGAAATTGTCGAAAGAGACAGACAGGATTTATAAAGAAAGAGTCAAAGAGTTTGAAACAGCTGGAGCTAACAACAGAAAAGAGGTGACTAAGACAGAGCACAAAATGGCTGAGATGAAGCATCTTACAGATCCATTAAGTTCTTACGAGATTCTTGAACTCCAACCGAAGCTCTTGCATAACCTCAGTGCCGAATTGACAGGGAAACAGCCTCATCGGGTCCCTAAAGAGTTGACCTTCATGGATTTTGAAGAAGGTGAGTGGTCACTTGGGAGCCTCGTTCTGGAAGAAGAGGCAAAGTCTGCAGCACAGCAATCACTAAGACGTGGCAGATGTGTTCAATATAAATGGGAACTGAAGACTGTAATAAATCAATTCATCATCCGCTTACATATTCAACAGGTTTCAGCACTCTCCAAAAATAAAATACTTGCATTCGACTCTGGGAATCGTGCATTGTTTGCAGTCACATCTCCAAAATGTCAACATGAACGCTCCTGTCCCAAAAGAATACCTATCAACGACTTCACTAATGTAAGGCGTTATGCAGTGCGCCAAGACGGCGAGATCAGTGTTGTAAATGTTATAACAGTGAGGTGTATTGCAGTGAGCAAGTATGACGAGATCCTTGTACTAGATGGTCCAGTAGTCAAGGTCTTTAACAAGCAACATCAGCTCCTCCATCAGTTCACTCCAGATAGAGGGTCAGCCATCCAACCAACATGCCTTGCAGTGGATGACAGCAATCTGATAGCAGTGGGTTATGAAGGCAAGGATGAGATATCTCTACACAACCCAGATGGATCCCTCATCAGGAGACTGCCTGCTCCAATGCTTGCACATAACCTGGTCATCTTCGATCACCGCCTTATCTACACAAACTATTCCCAACAAAGGTTGCTATCGGTAGACTACCATGGTGCCAGCGTATTCTCGATTGACATCAGAAGTGACGGGGGGAAAGATGCGTACCCTAACAGTGTGTGCTGTGACAGGGATGGCAGCATGTATGTTGCTTTGGAGGGTGTAGGATCAAGTGATATTCTGCATTACACTCCTGATGGCAAGTACAATGGACTTGCGATAAATGGATGTCATCTTACATCTTCCATCACATTCTCATCCGCTGGTGATCTGGTAGTGGCTGGAGTAAATTCCTTAAGGATCTACCATCGAGTGTAAAGCGGAGCAGTAACTGTTAACTAAATCTGGATTGATTTCAAAAGTGTATAATCACTTCCAACAGCAGTGTGCAACAACTTACTCTTAAAATAAAAGGAAACACCTCTGAAACGTTAAGATCACCCATTGGCCGTTAACGAAAAAAACGTTAAGATCACCCATTGGCCGCGAAAAAAAACGTTAAGATCACCCATTGGCCGTTAACGAAATAAACGTTAAGATCATCCATGGGCCGTTAACGAAATAAACGTTAAAGATCACCCATTGGCCGTTAACGAAATCTGAATTTCAAAAGGGTGATCTCCAATCACTTCCAACAGCAATGTGTATGCTTCTGAATTAAAACAGGAAAATGTCAAAACGAAACAAATTCCTTTTCAAATAAAATGACGCACCTCTGTAAAGATCTTTAAAGATCACCTATTGAAAGTCAAAACAATTAAGGCAACCATAAACTGAACCAGCAGCACTATGTCTATGCTAAAAGTGTTCCTATATTCTTATGCCTTCTTCCCTTCTGCATTGAAAAAAAAAAAAATCTCAAAATGAAAAAAAAAATTTCATGAAATAAAAAGAAAACGCCTCTGAAACAGTAAAGATAATTCATGTAAAAGAAAATTAACTAAGTCAAAACAGCGTATATGTTGTCTCTGCGTGTTCAAAAGTCAGGAAGATTGTCTGGAAACTGCGATGATAAAAATCAATTTTTTTATGACGACAACACTTGTTTGTCTTACAACTTTATAGGCTAGTGATACTAATCATGACCAATCCCTAGACGAAATTTCGATCAAGTACAGCATTCATTTGATTAGTTATTGTTTAAGCAACGTGTGTTGTTTCTGCGCGTTCAATATACTTTTTCTCCATGATGAAAAAAAAGTTCGATGACGACAACATTTTTTTTGTTTTAGTACTTGAAAGGCTAGTGTTACTAGTCATGACCCTTCTCTAGGCGCATTGTCAATCCAAGACAGCAGGTTTTTAATGGGTTATCGTTCAAGCAACGTGCGTGTTCGAGTGTCCGATAGTCGGGAAGATTTTCTTTAAGTTGACTGGAACTTCATTGAGGCAGGCTTTTATCCGTGATGAAAAAAAAAAACATTTCACTCCAGTACGACATTTTTGCAAACATTGAAAAACAAAACTAACACATTTTTACAAAATACCTTACTAGGATGTTGATAAATGACAGTCTAAAGCATCCTGCAAATTATGGCACCTGGTGTGAAGTCATTTTCAAGAAAAGTGGTATTTTGTATGAATTTCCAACAGTGGTCGGCCGACCACCGTTGGAAAACCTAACTATTGTTCAACTACTGCTCCAATTTTACCATTTTTTCAGTCCAAATTTTCTCCGCTTATTGGTTACATGTTCATGAACGGGTGCAGGCCAGCTAGACTGTTTCCCTTACCTTACAATTTCCCGGCATCTATAAATTGATCCTTTTCATCCTTAGTGGAGTCAGGGAACCAGACTACTTGAACTTTTTAGTCTTTCTTGGTTTTCCATTATTTTTGAACACAAAACTTCAAACATGTCATTGTAACAATATTTGATATATTATACTTACTCCTCAAATAGTTCATTTTCTAAAAATTAAAGCAAAAGCCAAGGTTATTGTTCAAGCAACGTGTGTGTTGTTTCTGCGTGTTCGATAGTCGGGAAGATTTTGTGTAAAGTATGACTTCATTTAGGCAGGTTTTTCTCCGTGATATTAAAGATCAATTTTCGATGACAACGTTTTGTTTGTCTTAATACTTTATAAGCTAATGTTACTTATCGTGACCAATCAACAGACGAAATTTCGATTAAGTACATCAAGTATAGTTATTGTTCATGCAACGCCTGTGTTGTCTCTGTGTGTTCCATAGTCGGGAAGATTTTCTGTACACTGAGACTTCATAGAGGCAGGTTTTTCTTCGTGATGAAAAAAATTGGTTTGTCCTAATACTTTATAGGCTAGTGTTAAATCATGACCTATCTCAAGGTGCAATTTCAGTCCAGAACATATTGTTCAAGCAACGTGTGTGTTGTGTTTGCGCGTGTATGATAATTCATGATGACTACAACTGTTGTGGAGACAAATACTATTTATGGAGAGAACAATTTGTCATCTAAATATTATGGGCATTTTTTTTCGTTTTAAGTCATGACCAATCTGCTGGCTGAAATCATGTGATGCATTAGTGAATTCACGAGTTTGCGTATCCAACAGGCCTGTGCCGTTTCTGTACAATAAAATGGGCAATGATGTTCTGTAGACTGTGACTGCAGACACGCGTTTTACCCAGTGTTGACAAAATAATATTTACGGAGAGAACAATTTCTTGTGTGATTTTGTCATATTGGTCATAACCAATTACCCGTAAATTCCCTCATAAATCAAAACCCTGCCCTCTTTCCACAAAAGTGAACCCATTCAGAAGATGTCATTACCAGATACATGTTCCGATGTGTCAAAGAAATATATCACATTATATGCCCGACTTTTGACGGTCATTTAGTGAGCTTTGGACGAGTCTTGTAAAAGGTCTCTTAAAGTAATGATTACCAAGATCGGGCCATGGACTTATGAAATCTGCTCGCATAATAGAATGGTTGGACTAGCCTTCGTTACACTACAGGTTACAACGCTGCTGCCCCCCCCCCCCGGTCCCCCCCCCCCCGACGAGCTGGAGCAGCTCCGCCCATGATCAATGTACGTAATCCAACAGACAAAAGAGGGCGCTACTCAAAATGGCTTCATCAATTTTGGTCGCGGACTACGGGTCGTCTGATTCCGAAAATGAGGAGGAAACGTCAGCGGAAAATGCTGACCTGGAGAAGAAAGGGTAATTGAGTAAATCTGTAATGAATACTCCATCAATTATATGAATCAGTTTAGCCAATTGGACATGCTTGACGGACCAAAGACTTAATTAATTCTATTCAGTTACCTCCTTCATAATTTCATTAGCTTCAAACGTACGTTTTGGGGGCAAACTTTTTTTTTGAGGCTTCAAAAGATCCCAACTCGCCCCCTGGCCATGTTGGCCAATAATAGTACTTAGTAGCCCTGAAGTAGCCCCTTAGTAGTGGCTGAAATACTGAACTACCTCCGTATTAATGCAGCCTAAAAATGCAATAACAAATATGGGAAAGAATGTTTAAGCAACCTGGCGCTACTTAATAATAGTCACATGGCGGTTGTGTACAAAGAGAGTATCATTGTCATCTGGTCATGACTTTGGGAGGGTCAAGAAGCATTCTTAAGTATTTCCTATCAAAAGTGGAAATGTTTCTCAGTTTCAGATTCATTCATGTCTTATCATTTAGGGGAGGCTAGGGGAGCCGAAAATCAATTTGAAATCGGAATTAGGAAAAAATGTTGCACCTGAACCTGACACCACTTTTTCTTCATAAATATTATCATATCAATGAAGGTAATTTATTGCAGAAATGATGATGAAACATGAATCTGGCAGTGGCACTGAGAAATGTTTCCTATTTTGTTTGGAAATAGAAAATGTTCTTGACTCTCCACAGTCGACTTTGTACACAATCGTGGAAGTGCCGCAATTATTGTGTCACTGTATACTCACACAATGCCATCTACAACTGCTTACAAAACGTTAAATTCTGTACCTTCAGAGGTCTAGTTATCCTGTAATTTCGGGTTGAATTCGGACAACTTTCGGCTGCCATTGTTCACGAAAGCGTCATGCTGCAAATCTCTCTCACTAGTTTGCATCAGATTTCGGCAAAGTGCCTCGGTACGGCTGTTGCCTGTCATTCAGTATTGTTCAAAAGTGCGCCCGCATGCATGCAAACAAAAACTTTGTTTTTAACCTGACACCCACTTGTACTTTCATTTTCACTGATTTCCAACAACAAAAACTTTTCAAACTTAGGTCGCTCTGTCGATTTCAAATTGTTTTTAACCTTTTTTTTTAATTGCAGCTTGCAACCCTCTGCAGGAGTCAACCTGCTGGCCAGCGCTGAAGACAAAACTGACAGCGATGGAGACAGTGATGGTGATGCTAAAGGTGACAACAAGAATAAAACCGCATCTTCTAAGCAGAACTCAAATGAACCAGAAAAACTACCCCTGCCCACCGCATTTGGGATGGATGCTCAGCAGGGATTACTAGGGATGACGTCAGCACCAGCGGCGTCCTCCATATTTGCCAATCCATTTCAGGAAGCAGAGCAGCACAAGCTCTCGATTCTAGAGCAGCACGTCAAGCTCACCTCGGCCCAAGGGAAAGAGGCGGAGCTCGGTGGGAAGAAGAAAATCTGCTGGAAGTTCCGGAACGGCCGGTGCCGCTTCGGCCACAAGTGTAAGTTTGCTCACGACAGCGACGTCCCTGCTACGTTATTGGCAGGCGGCCAAGCGGAGGACACAACAGCGAATGACAGGACTGCTCATCATCAGCACATCGGAGGGGGTGCTGATCCAGGAGCGTGGCTTGGGCAGCAGGGGGCAGAAGATGACGGGGACGAGGAGGAGGGACAGCTGAAGCGAAAGCGGCGGCCAGGGTTGAGTCAGACTCTTGTACCTTCCAAGAAAGTTATGACAGGCTTTGCTCGGCAAAGGAGTAAAGAGAGCCCATGGTCACAACACAGATGAGGTTCTCGTGTTTGCTATTTCAATTTTAAAATGTGTCAAATGCTGCATCTCCAGGAGCTTGAGCATCTGGAAATATCTTTCTTTTCTGAAAGCAACAGCCGGGAACAAGTCAGACTCTCATACCTTCCAAGTTTTGCTCAGCAAAGGAGTTAAGAGAACCCGTGGCCACGTAGATGAGGCTCTTGCAGCTGATATTTTGATGTTGATGTGCATCAGATGCTGCATCACCAGGAGTTTGAGCATCTGGAAATATCTTTGTTTACTGAAAGTAACGACAGGGCATGAGTCAGACTCTCAAACCTTCCAAGAAGGTCATGACAAGATTTGCATGGGAAGGAGTAAAGAGAACCCATGGTCACAACACAGATGAGGTTCTTGTGTCTGATGCTGCATCTCCATGTTATTCAGATTCTTTCACCTTGCAAGAAGGTCATGACAGGCTTTGCTCGGCAAAGGAGTAAAGAGAGTCTATTGTCGCAGCAAAGATGAGGTTCTTATGACTGACATTTTGTTGTTAATGTGTTTAAGATGCTGCATCATCAGGAGTTTGAGAATCTGGAAATATCTTTGTGTTACTGAAGCAGTGCTCAGAGCCCATCAAAACAGTGCAATTCTAAGGTTCATCATATTTGCCCAGAGCAATCTTCATTGGCCTTAAGATCATGGAACCTATTTCTCTATATGGGTTCCGTGCGCCAACAAAAGAGGGCGCATTTTTACCACATTTGAAAGCCCCGTGAAAGGGACACACAGCGTGTGCGTACTGTACTGTAGTGGTTCACGCGTGAAATAGCCTACGTACGCCTTCCTGAATGTGCCAAAGCTATTAGCCACAGCGTCTTCACATGAGCGTCAGGTGTCGTCGGCGTGCGAATACGGTCAAATTTAACTTGCGATAGTCTCCCAGACTTTCCGCGCCCCATATGCTACTGAAACCGGAGATAAACGCTGGCCTGCTGGGCCACATTAGCTTGTGATAGATTTGACTAATTGTGTGGACGTTTATATCCAACTTGTAAATGCTCTTTTCCAATTATATTGAATTTGTTTAAAAACACGTTTTGTAGCCCAATTAGGCGCATTCCAGGCGGTAATGTCCATTTAATATTGGGGACTTTTATACAGGTGTGTACAGTACCGGTACATCCACAGTTTTTAGTTTCTGTTTTGGTTGAAGAAATTTTTATTTGAGGAAATGGTTCAAAAGTGTTTCAAGTGCTTCCAGCAATGAATTACAAATTGAATTACTAATAAGGTATTGAACCAAAGACTGCACAGGAATTGTGGTACATGTACACTAAGATTTTTTTCAGTTTTACTTGTCAGAATGCAGTAAAAAGTACTAGTTTCACATAAACCAAAATTGTGTAACATTTATTTTCCGTGCAAGCTGAGCTACTGGGAACATAGTTCTCAGAATTTTTTTTCTGTTGAGCCCAACTAGGCCATGGTCCCAACTTCAGCAGGGACCATCCCGTCTTAATAAATGTATGTTCCAGTTAGAGCACTTACATGTAGTTGGGACATTCCAAACTTAAAGGGAATGTACATCATTGGTTTTTGCTGTAATTTTCAGAAATGAACTTTTTGAGGGGTTACTATGATAGATCAAATATTGTTACACTGACATGTTGAAGTTTTGTGTTCGAAAATGCTGGAAAAACCAAGAAAAACACAAATGGTGGAGTAGTCTGGTTCCCTGACTCCACTAAAGATAAAATGGATCAATTTATAGATGCTGGAAATTAGTAAGGTAAGGGAAGCAGTCTAGCTGGCCTGCACCCGTTCATGAACATGTAACCAATAGCAAACAAACTTTTGGACTGAAAAAAATGGTGAATTTAGAGCAGTAGTTGAAAAATGGTTAGGTTTTTCCAACGGTGGTCGGCCGACCACTTTTGGAAATTTATACAAAAACACAATTTTCTTGAAAATGACTTCACACCAGGTGCCATAATTTTAAAGGATGCTTTAGACTGTCATTTACCAACATCCTTAGTTTCCTAGTAAGGTACTTCACAAAAACTGGGTAGTTTTATTTTTCGATGTTTGCAAATGTTGAATATTCCCTTTAAGTTGGGATTATCCCAACTAAAGTTGGGACCGATAGTCTAGTTGGGCAGGAACTTTCCCATGAAGGGTTCATGCACTGCACAATTGTGTAATTGGCCGCAAGTTTTGAAGTCTGTACATTTCCAGTTGCTGGGGCAATTTGTATTCAGTTGGTTTTAATGGTGATTATTAAAATCATTGTGCGTTTACAGATATTGATGAAATATTTGTGTTTCATCCATAGAAAAGTTGGTACATGTATTTCACAGGATTCATTTATTTCGGGGGATTTGGATCTTACTACATGTACATGTATTGTCATGAAATGATACTCATACAGGTTTTTCGTCACTAACAATTTTGTTTATTCTCAAAAACACACAAACTTGTCAAAAAGAGGGGTGTTGCAAATGAAATGAGGAAAAATGAGGAAAAATGCTTCAAAAATTAAATTACAATCAAGTTATTCACACTTTATGTGAACACCACCGACCTATTAGCTGAAATGAGTAAGGCTGAAACATTTCAACTTTAATATTAAAAGGATCACAAATGTTACTACAGTGTATATAAGTTTGTGCAGAAACTATGAGAAACCAGCCTTGAAATAGGCAAATCGATACTGGTTTGAAATGTTCCTGTGATATCACAAAACCACCAGTACTATGAAACATCATCCACAAAAACCAAAGTCACAAAAAAGTTCACAAGTTTCGAACAGCGCAAAATACAAGCACTATAATGGTATGCTGTGCAAATAACAACAATTATTGACAGTTTGAGACATTGCAAATTTAAAGATCAAAGCGAAGAAAAAAACTACCTCTTCAGAATTATTAGAAATACAACATTTGCTACCTTCAAATTTTGTTGTCTTCTATTCAAATACAATAAGAAAAGGGACCAAAAAAAACAGGGAAAAAGCATGACTTATAAAGGGCTATCACCACAAAATTTCCCACAAAGTATATATAAAAAAACACCCAGTTGACATTTTAATGCTTAGCAAGAGATATTGACCAAAAAAAGAACAGAATTTAACTAGATGAAAAGAAAAAGATAATTACTGAAATCCCAAAAGTTTTAATATTTTGGTGGCACATCAAATAACACTGGATAAGTCTTTTTCAAATGATGACAAAAACAATGTTCTATGTTGCCAGAACTAGCAAGTTGGACATTTGTCCAGGGGCCAAGTTTAATTGATGTTTTTGTCTAATCATCCACTCTCAATCATTTGCTGTGCCACAAAAACATTTGAAAATTGCTATACACAGCCACAGGACAGTTACAGGTTGGGAACATTCAAATAAAACAAAAGTCATATTTTGTGAACGAGCCAAGAATATTATTATTTACCAATGCTCAATGATCACAAGATCACAATAAAATACACTGCAAGATTCGTTATCACTGACCCAACCACACCCCAACAAAACAAAAAAGTATCGAGCCTCACTTAGGGTACATGTACAGTGGAACGCAGCTATAACAAACAATGCCAGATCCATAGAAATTGTTCGTAATAGCGATCTTTCAGTATTGCGATTTTAAGCTGCTGGTGCTCTGGTACTCACTTTTCAATAAATAGCACCCTCCAGAACTTCACCCTGCACGCCTTTTTTTTATAGCTTACTACCTACAGAAATGGATGGCTTTCCCATTCTATTCCTTGGGGAAATAACAGCCACTTGTCGCTCTTCTGTGGACATTTTTCAACAACAATGTTTGTCACATTTTATACACACAAATCGGGTGCCAAGGGCAATGTTTGGTATAGCCGAATGTTTGGTATAGTGATGTTCCACTGTATAGGTATCTGAATCCTGCAGTACTTAAAGAGGTTGTGGAATGCTCGAAGACATTTCCGTCATTTTTCGGGTATATGTAGCCTAAGGTGTGATGAAATAAAAACGACTATTGTTTCTGTCATGAAATGAGTACAAAAGGTACTTTTGAGAGCTGTTTTTCAGGTCCAGTTTCGACCCGAACGTGCAACTGTGTAAAAGTCGTCGTTGCGGGCAGCAAACAAAACACAGTAAATCGTGACGTAATAAACAGGACTCCCGATGCACAGTAGCATACACGAGTCCTGTTTATTACGTCACGATTTACTGTGTTTTGTTTGCTGCCCGCAACGACGACTTTTACACAGTTGCACGTTCGGGTCGAAACTGGACCTGAAAAACAGCTCTCAAAAGTACCCTTTGTACTCATTTTATGACAGAAACGATAGTCGTTTTTATTTCATCACACCTTAGGCTACATATACCCGAAAAATGACGGAAATGTCTTCGAGCATTCCACAACCTCTTTAATCTTTTAAAGAGGAAAGAGTAAGACTTTACAAGACTTTTAACAGTGTTTTTCAATTTTTAATGCCAGTTGAGGAAATAAAACAAAAAGTCACTCGATATCAAACAATATGTCTTCTTTGCTTGGCAAAAGTGGGAGTTTTCACATTACTGAACTCGTAACTGTCCTGTGGCAGACATTTTTAACAGACGGTTAAACCACCCTTCTGACTTCAAAGAAGCGCTTAAGGTAGTAAACTTGACCCAGCGTCATGGCAACCAGCACCAAGCTCTCAAAGAAAGACCATAAGACTACTCTGGAGTTTGTGTTGTCGTTAACTGTTAAAAAGAAAAACACAAAAATACAACAATCTTAAGTGTGTAGTTTGCATAAATATAAAGTTGATCCTTCCCTCTGGGCTGTTTTGTATAGAAACCCTTCCCATCGCGACAACATCCAACAGGTCAAAAATCCCAACGTCACACTGCCAATTTTATTTTCAATTTTCAGATTTATTGATACACTGTACATGTACATGTATTTATAATCTTTGATATGTGTACTACACATATTTTAAAGAAGTAGTATAGAAATTGTGGATAGTGGAATAAAAGTGTTTTTATGGTGAAAAACAATTGGCATCTTGCATTTTCTCTACTACAAAACAGTAGAAACTTTATAAGACCTTTTTCGTGTTGTTTTACTGTTTTAACGTCGTTAAATGCAAACTTTAAACAGCCATAACTTGTCAACCGAATGTCCGACTGAAGTGCAACAAACAGTATTGTAAGGAGAATTTTATTCTCTTTCATAATACCCGCAAACCCTCATTCGACCTCTGCCCAGTTCTGTCTCATTTTGCTAGAATGCCTCACATTAATGCATTGGTGTTGATGGCCAGACGCATCTGTTGTTGCGTCTGGTAGGGTTCGGGTTGACAATGGTTGATAGGGTTAACAGTTAATGCTTTGTTTGATAGGACTACTCGATATTACTCGACAGTACTCGATACTCACTTGACCTATGGACCCTTTCTCGGACCTCCATGTATTCCTGCTCATGTTTGACAGCCGTCAGCCCGGTGGCAAGTTGGTTAATCATATCCTCAAGTTTGTTATGATGATCTGTAAGAGTTCAAAAACATTGAGATTGATGTAGTTTTATAGTACTTTTACAATTATACTAAAATTGTTTGATACATTTCACTTGTGAAGTATCGTACTAAAGACATGATGGACTAGTTCCATGGGCAAGTATATTTTGTGCTGTCCTAGCCCCTGCATGTTTTTTGTTATACTTTTTAAAAAATTTCGGACTTGACAAAAGTATTGAGGGTGAAATATTACGGACTAGCTTCTTTTTACTAATGAGTCAAGTTGACTCTCGTTAATACAAACTCAGCCGGGCCTAGCCAATCCTTTGAATTTGTCAGACAGTCCCGTCTCTCAAAATGCATTCATCCTCAATCCTCCAAAACCTCCGCTTCTAATACCATTCATCCTCAATCCTCCAAAATCCTCATGTTTCTCAAACACCATTCATCCTCAATCCTCCAAAATCCTCATGTTTCTCAAACACCATTCATCCTCAATCCTCGAAAATCCTTCAAAACCACCAGTAGGATTGAGGAGGATTGAGGAGTGTTAGGGGGTTAGGTTCTGGACAAATAACACAATCACTATGTTCTGTGTTGTCATCAGTTCTTTCAACCAAAAACCAGAAAAAAAACTTTCCCCTTTTGGGTAAGTATTCAAGCGGTTCTTTTTTACCATTACCCTCTGTGTCCATGGACTGGTCTTTTGGCGAATCTCCAATATCGATGGAGAACATGACAACCTTGGGCGTCATGGTTGACATCCTGTTGCTGAAGCAGTAGCGGTACTGCCCGTCCATGTGCGCTGGGAAGGTGTACTTTCCGTTGGATTCTCTCTCCCCGGAGTAGATGACCTTGTTGTCGGGTCCAGTGATCTTGAGGTGAGATTAAGAATCTTAGATGATTAAAGGCAAGGCATGGAGAAGAAGCAATGAATTATGAAATTAGCTGTTTTGCAGACTCATGTACACATATTGACACATATGGATCCCTCCCAGTTACATTTTTGGAGAAACTGAAGTTTGAGGGAATTTTTGAGGGACTTTTTCTTGCAGCATTATATGCCATTCATGGGCATGATTACCATAAGCAGATAATATGGAAGAACAAAAAAAAGGACAATCTGGCACTGCGCCATTGGTCATTCACCTTTTTTTCAGAATAGTCTAAATTGAAAAATGTAGGCCTAATTCTGCACACATTTCTTCAGCAATACGCAAGTCACTGCTTTAGCAAATCCACCGTTACATAAATGTAAGTAATGCATTCAATAATTGAACAGTCAAAATTAAGATGCAGAAACACGGAATAGCATATTTAATTTCAACTTATTAAAACAATTTATACCTTAACATCAATATCAAGAAAACCGCCCTCAGCGACTTCAAAAGTCAAGGCCATTTTTGTTCCCGAAGTGACTTTGTCGTGAAAACACTCCTCAGCATGCGCATCAATGGCAATAAAATACCCTCTGATCGGTGAAACACAGCAGAGCACACATGCTCCTAAAACGAGGAAGTGGAGATCGCCCATTTTGAGCTTAATTTTTCACACAATTTAATGGCAAAATGATCGGTTCCATACGTTGTGTGTTGCACTGTATGCATGCCACGTCGCTTTACACTGCGCATGTGCGCATGCAAGTTGCCGAAAATCGGTTATTTCGTAATTGGGCAAGCGTTTTACAAACTCGGCCCCCTATGCATTTTGATGGGGGTCAGACAAGTCGACCGTTGAGACAACTCGACTCGGGACAAGTCGACCGTTGAGACAACTCGACCGTTGAGACAACTCGACCGTTGAGACAACTCGACCGTATGTGCGATAAATGGAAAGACAAGTCGACCGTTGAGTCGCCTCGCATGTTTTGGCCTTTTTCGGGGATAGTACCGGGGATTTCGACGGCGGCTGATCGCCGTTTGGGAGTGATGACACATGATTTTTTTTGTTGCATTTAACAGAGCCGATATAGCGCAGCGTGATTGTCCGTGCACATCGTTCGTTTTTTTCAAGGCCACGTGCGCGCATCCCCGGTCAACGGTCGACCTGTCTCAACGGTCGAGTTGTCTCATTGGTCGACTTGTCCCGAGTCGAGTTGTCTCAACGGTCGACTTGTCTGATTACCCCATACATAAAAAGTTGCGCACCTCAATCAAAAATATCACTCCCTATTCTGGTTAACACCACCAAAGTCATTTGAAGAAGTCACAGAACTTTGAAATATCTTGCGAGCTTTGCTTAATTTAAGCTGATTTGGGGGGGGGGATTGTAATAAATCTGGCTCTGATGATCGAGTTAGTACCGAGCAAAGATCCTACGGCGCTATAGGATCTTTGGTACCGAGTTTACAGTACAGACCTTTTAGGTGCCGAGTTTTCATCGTGCGAATATTGCGAAAGACGAAAATGACCGATTGCTGATAGCTGTCCTCTTATTATTTGGCGTTTAAGTCTAATTAAATCAAATTTATGATATTAGGAGAAAAATATGAATAACATTGGTGAAATTTATTTTTGTTTTGAAAATTCTGTTTGAAATAAAAATCACATAAAAGTTGATAAATGTAAAAGTTCCCTCTCGCCGAACGAGCCGATCAAGAAAAATCCCAGTACACATGCGCGAAAATGTATAGTCGCAGTTTACGCCACACAGACGAGGAAGTGATGAAGATTGTGCGGCAAATTTGCACTGAAACGGCTTAATAACAACATTGTTGAGGTAAAATCGAGTGGATTTGTAGAGTTTGTGTGTTAAAGATCAGGTTTTGTAAGGTTGAATATGATTTCAAAGCAGCATCTTTGAGTATGCAGTCGAAATATTTTTGTGAGTTCATTCGCCGTAACTCGTATCGCGCGGTTGTAACGATGATCGTACACGGTTACGTAGTGGTAGTGCGCGGTGCAGATTCCGGGAAACCCCAAGGCGTGGAATGTTTACGCGGCTTCGTCATGATTGTGTAAATGGTGGAGTTTGGTGATAAATATTCGGAAACCCCCTTCCATGCATGACATCATCAGTAATTGTGGCATGATCAAACAGTTGGCATTGTTGTTTGTTATGAAAATATTTTCCTGTCATGCCTGTATTTTGGAGTTCAGTAGAATGGCACTTTGAAAACTCATGAGTCATATCTATCACGGTGTAAAAAGTATTCATTAATTAACCCTAACTCCCTAGGGCCTTAGGGGGTGTGAAAAATCATATTGAAATTGGAGGATTCAGGACTGGCAATATTTTAGTAGTTAAAATACTAAAAATTGTATTGAAATGTTCTTCCATTGCAATTGAATTTGATAGTGAAATGTTGAGACAATACGGTCATCTTGAAAATGACATTGACAGTCGACACTGTTTTCTTTTTTGGGCCTTTATCGATCATGAGGTGAATAATATTCAACAATAGAGGGAGCTATATTGTAGAAAACAAATACTCTTTCAATTGAGACCAAGCAGTCCATGATTTTCGAGCGAGAAAAAGTATATCTTTTGGGATTTCTAAAGTCACAAAAATAGCTAAGATTTTTGGTAATTTCTCTTTGAAAATTTGCCTTAAATGACACCGAAGGAGGTACCATAATGATATTATGACAGTTGGTTTTTGCAGAAAGAGTGGAATTTCAGGAACTTATTTCACTTTAAAAAAGTGGGAATATGTGGATGGCATGTGATCTCAAATCATTTTTAAACGTCGGGTACAGAGGCGAAACAAGAAAATCTCGTGTATCCGCAACCAGACTGATAGTCTGTCTACTACCGTATGCGTATTGTATGCAGATGGCAGACTTAGCATGCCAGACTCTAACAGTGATAACGTGTGAACGCATGTTCCGTGTTGCTGCGTTGTGTGGAGCGGGATCAGAATTGTATTTTGCCCACGGGTGTAATGACGCCAGGCCGTCTGTCATTGTCTGGTCGCATTGCGGTGGTTGCCCGTCATGCAGCGCACCTGGATAGTGCGAAGGTCTGGGGGAAAATAAATAGGGCCAATGATTTTCCGTTTCAGAAAAGTGCAAATTCCGTTTTCAAAAATCCTGAATTCCATTTCAGGCTGAACAATTCTGTTTCACATTCATTCAATACATAAAAAGGCATTTAAACATATACCATGTACACAGTAAAAAATTCCAAGACGATAATGAAATAGTCGTTTGGTTGGAGCGCGGAAAAACTGCCCCAAAAAGATTTCTATTTTATCAACGGCCGATCAATGTACATGTACAGACATAGTATTTAACTTCACCACAGTCAAGTCGTATACTGCACTGCCACTACCACACACGCAAGAAACATGCAATAGCCGTACAGGCCAATCCCATGACGTCACACACATCAGCTGGCCGAAGCGAAATTCATGTCCGCCATTTTGTTTTCGGGCTAACGTTTATAGCGACAAAATAGGATAGTTTACGCGTGGAGGAATAAGAACACACGGTAGATTTTGGACCTAAGCACAACATGCATTTCAATAGAGCCAAAGTTAGATGTTATACGAATGGTTGATTGATTGAACGGAGAAAAATAAACCTGCCGATGGAGCAAAAGAGACCCGCGAGAGCGTGCCGTGAGTGTGATGATTTTCACTGTTGCGCTGACCGACAGCTACGGCATGCGTCGGGACTGTCACTCCCATGACTACGCGTACTACGGTAATGATCTCGTAACATTTATTGCTCTGATCTTGAATGTTTTTGTCCCCCCAAAATCGTGATATAAACACCGCTCATTTGTTGTATGGCTCATCTGTTCAATCAATCATCAATAATTCGTTTTGTACTCAATAAATTTAACGAAATTATGTTTTTTTATCAATAAAATTGCAGAAATTATTTTCTTCAGATTCAAATTCCGTTTTCCGTTTCGAGGAGCAGATTCTGCGAATTCCGTCCGTTTTCCGCGATCGCGGAAAATCATTGGCCCTAAATAAATCATACATAACTTTTCTGTTCTCAACGATAAAAAGCTGATTCAAAAATCAAAGTATTGTTTATTTAATGGGGATTCCTATGATATCAAACATTTTTAAAACATTGTGGAAACTTTTTCAGTAATATGTGGTTATTCAACTTGACAGCCAAAAATCTTCAATTATATAATTTAAATATTAGTTTAACTTCCACATACTTTATGCTATGGAACTAATTCTTACACCATTAAATTGATTCTCTTTCCAATTATACTACATTTGTGGGGGTGCTCTGAAAACAAACTAAAAAGTGCCGGACTCCCTACATTGTTTGTACCTATAAACTTCAATTTCAGTCATGTTACTAGTTTGATCATGAACCTTTCTCCATGGTTTCATCAATTTATTTAGTGTTGGCCTAACATTACCACTTGTTTCCATATTACAATTTCAAAGTTTTGCTTCTGGTAAGGCCAACTTCTGGTAAAGCCACTGAAATCATCATCTTGTTTTCATATTTTAGTCAGTATAGGCCTAGTTCTGTTCGAGTCGACCATTTGCTTTTTTCCCATGAAACTTCAGTGAACTTTTTTTTTAATATTAGGCCTATACAGTCGTTTTCCTAGTTCCGGATCACAAACATTATTCAGTCTCCTTTCAGCTTCACTACTCCACGAAATCAAGTGAATAGTTTACCATGTTCAGTGAAGGAGATACTGCAAAACTATTTTCTAAATTTAAGCTCGGAAAGAATGTCGCATCCTGACACCACTTTTGTCATCAAATATTATCTCAGTGAAGATCAGCCATTGCAAAAGTGTGGGAAAGACATGAATTTGGGACTGAGAAGCATGTCCAATTTTGTTAGTAAATACTTCCTTTGAAAATGCACTCAACTCTCCATAGACTTTCTACATAACCACAGAAGTCGCTTCAAGATACTACATTCCTGAAGCATTTGAATATGGGACGTCGAAAGTACCTATGCCAATTTTCTTATTTCCGGATCAGTTTAATAAGTTCCAGATCGGATCAAAAACTGCCTCATGCGAGAATGGAATTGCAGACCAATCCAAAAGAGGTAATGTTGGTTTTTACTTGGAGTTGAAGCGATCAGGAACTAGGAAAACGAATGTACCAACTTCACTTTTGCAGAAGCAAACCCCTGGTGATGTTTAACACTGCATCATCAGAATTATCAGTGCACAAACTGTTTGTGTTAGTGAACTTTTGAGAAGATGGCATGCATGCTGATACTGCTATTACCACTGGGAAAAATATAATTAACAGGTCACATTATCGGTAGTATTTGGGAAATGTATTTCAGTTTTCCATATTCTCTCAATGGCCTTGCTTTCGTTGGTGTGAAAGAATTCAAAGGCGAAGTCCAAATTTGCCAACCTACATTGTAGTCAACTTTGCTTATTGCTCATATTTCATGAAGTTAAAAAGAATTTCTACTACATGTATGATATTGACCTAATGAGGATATTGTAGTTTTCTATACAACTATATGAATAAAATCCTTGCTTTCATGGTGATTGTAGGATTTTTAAGTCCAAGAGAGCTAGGCTAGTGTCCTCTTTGCATCTACCTCACTGACTGACTGTCACTTGTGGCTTAGACTGGCCTTGGGCTACTCTCAATACTGTGTATAAGGGTCCCAAAACTTAAGGTATTGAAAACATGCAACATGAGAAAATAGACTGGCACATGAAAAAAAAAAACAGTCCAATACCCAGTACTGCATCAGTCAACTGTGTCAAAAGAAACTGGTACCAGTCTCGATTTCTACACATCTCTCCATAGTCTGCCACCAGACTACTGAAGAGGCATCAGTCTCTTCAAACAGTTGGACATGTACCTGTCTAGTCTTAGGCTTCAATAATAAAAAATCACTTGGCTTCACTCTCACTGTCTCAGGTACAAAATGTTGAAGAAAAGTCTCCTTTAACCCTAATTCCCTAGGCCTTTTTTTCTAGGATGTACATTTGTAGCCTCGATCCTTCACAATCCTCCAATCGGCATCATGGAAAAATAGCATGTATCCTCAATCCTGCACATTCCTCCATTATTTCTTGAATGTGTTCCGTGGAGGGGTGACCACTGCCTGATGAATCCTGCAAAATCCTGCGGCAGTGACTGTCAATATATTGAGGTTTGGCCAGTGACATCCTGGAGCAGTACGGAGGATTTCAAGCATAATCCAGGCCTTTATTTACATGTATGCATGGCTGAGCACAAGCAACAGAAAGTCCGGCCCAAGACCTTGACAGAGTGCATACTACAAAATCGGGGCGGTTAGGGTTAAAAATTGAATTGAGACTTCAAACTTGGCTGGAGAAATACTGAGGACCTTGTCTTTGCCTCATAAAAACTTTAGAGAATATTGTCCGCTATAGAGTGAGTAAAGTTGGCCTGAATTTATTTTGCATGTTTTCTGCACTCAATGCCCCAGTCTGGCCTTTGTCTAGCTTTATTAGACTTCCCTTATCTTTTTTATAATTCCATTTTGACATTGACCTTTTGCCCTTGTCTCCACTTCAGATGAACGGTCTCGCAAACGACGGGCAGGACCTGCTATTGGCAGCCCTGTCTGAGAGTGGGCTGGCGTTTGATGAGTTCCCCGGTGCCACCGACGCCAACGATCAGAATGACTTCGATCTCAGCCTCTTGGGACCGCCAGACCCGTTCGGGGCCAACGTTCCTCCTGTAAGTCCTGTCATTTTGTCATTTTTGCGTCAATATTTATTTTGATTTCTGTGACGGTGTTATACAGGGTGAGTCCAAAAAGCGGAACCCAAATCCCCCCCAAAAATATTTCATATTTTAAAAAAATTTGTAATACCAAACATAATAATGACTGGAAAGCCATTCAGCCAATTGCTTCAGCTACTTTTAGATAAAAAATACTGAAATTGCTGCTCGATCCATTCAAAGAGTATCACCATTTAAGCACAATGACCCTAAAACCTGTTTCGTCCCAAAATAACGCAGGTTATTGTGTATTCTAACTGAAAAACGAAGAAAATGACACAGAATACTTGTTTCAAAACTGTCAACAACTGTAGCACACAATATCTTTATTAACAACCCTGGTTAGGCAAACAATATGATTTATAAAATCCACTTTTTATAAAAGACGGGCAATCAAAAGGACTTTAATATTTTTAACTTTTAAACTCAGGTTTCATCGCTGGTGATGTTTGAAGACAATTGTGATACCGAATCTTGAAATCGCGAAAGAGATTTTAGGGTAATATTGTTTGAACGGATTGAGCAATTTCAGTTTTTTTTTTCATCTAAAAGTAGCTTATGAAACTGGCTTTCTAGTCATTATTTTTGGTGCTACATAGTTTTTAGAATATGAAATATAAGTTTTGGGGTTTGGGTTCTTCTTTTTTTGACTCGCCCTATAGTCAAGGCCAACACAATTCTCCACACATCCTCGCAAGCTCATCACAGGTCTTCCAAACTCAAGTCAACAGACAATTCACAAGTAGTTCAGGTCAACTGTGGCACAAACATTCCTTTTTTGTTGTTACACTTGTGATGGAACATGTAAAAGGCCTCGTGATTTACTTTTGTCTGGACTTGTGTTGGACTGGACTAGTGTCGGATTGAAATCTGTAATTTTTCTTATTCTGTTTGAATTCCATTTGGTTTGGAAACCGGATTTTCAATCGGTTGAATGTCATTTGAAAGATTCCAGGAACAGCGTGGTTCTGTAAGATACCTGTACTGTCATACCAGTTATGTAATATTTGTTGGAACCAGACTATTTTTTCAACTTGATAAAAATTGCATCACCTTTCAATAAAGGTGATTCCCTGTACAGTGCTCCACCAAGACGTTGTCACGGAGAGTTCATTTTTCAACTTTACGGTCGACAAAAACATGGTCGACTTGCTGTGATTTGAATTTGTCGACCCTCTCCCACAATGCACTGCAAAAAATGGACTCTCCGTGGCAAACTCTTGGTGGCGCACTGTATTGGGATTCAACCGTATTGATTGACTTGTGATTTGACTTGATTTCTCTGCGTATAGATCTGTGCCATAGGACGCCATCTTCGTATGAAAATTACGACTGCATCTTCAATGCCATCAGTTCCATGTGCGCGCAGTGAGCAGAATATTCTAAACACGTGCGCACGTTGTTCAAAATTTCTTTGAAATACGGCACAGCTGATGCGCGTCACGCACATTTGATGCCCAAAATGCTGATGCATGTGTCAATCTGTAGGAAGTGACGTTATTTGAGAGAGACCTATTGTCCTAATAAAACTCAAAGATGAGTCTTTTTTCACTGTTACTTTTAGAGCCAGTACATGGCCGGGCTGCAGAGCAATGAGACAGACCCTCTGTTGGCCATGCTGCAAGGTGAACATCAGCAACAACAGCAGCAGCAGCAGCAGCAACGAATGCAACAGCAGCAACAACAGTTACAGCAGCCACCAACATTTGTATCAACTCCTTCCGTGCATCAGGTACAATACAATCCTGACTTCAAATCAGTATTAACGCTAACCACCCTCCATCCTCCAAAATCCTCCAGGCGGTTTTGGAGGATTTGGGAGGATTGAGGCTGAATGCCAAAAAAAGTGTCGGTTGATTTTGGAGGATGCATTGTGTTGAGTTCGTAGGCTGTACTCAGCATTGTTTATGTTCAGTCGTGCATAATTGAGCCCTGCGTTATGCTCGATATCATCTGCATGGCTTCTGAATGTCACCGTCACTGCCTCAATCCATTAACAGTGATTGTTGGAGATTTTGAAGGATTGAGGCAATGGTCACCCCTCCACTGAACAAAATTTAAGAAGTAACGGATGATTTGGGAGCAGGCCGGGGTGTGCACTTACGGGTAGTACAGGGATATTTTCGTTTAAAAGATGTATACAAGATACAAAGCAACAGAATTGTACACACTGGGAACATAGGTTTTGCAGCATGTAATGGTGCAGTACTGTGCAGCCTATTTCTTGATTTTGTTCAGCGTTGATATTACAATAACAACAAAATTATTGTTGTCAATTTTGTTTGCTCTTCACCAAGATTATTTCAAAGGCATTTTACACTTAAGTAGCTTTTCAAGAAAAACGTTCCCAAACTAATACTCGGGTGGAACTTGAAACCAGTGACCTCCTACTTATGAGTACAGACGTCTTACCACTCTACCACTGAGCTTGCCGCGGTTGGCTTGCATGTTCGATTCTGATAGAGCATTGGGACCATAGTGTTTTGTATAATGGAATTTTGTACACATATGGTCCGATCGTATTAGCAACCATGTCGTACATTGTACACAAGACAGTAGGCCTTATTTTCACTAAAAATAGTTTCCTCCTGATCGACCACTGTTGCAGTAGGCAAGCATTTGGTTATCAACCACCTGGTACCTTGTAAACCAGATCGTACAGCTTTTTTTCACTTAAAAATAACCACCAAATCTGTATCAGATGGCATAATGGTCACTACGTGTGCCATGTACTGTTGTCATAATCGTGTCGACCCAGCACTGGGCGTTGGCTCCTCATTCTTCTCACAGTTTTTGCCATCCCTCACAGCTTTGAAGGCTTGCCTGCTACCTACTGCACGCGGCGCTTTACGAGCTTTGCCTACTACAATGGCGACGCCAACCTTCCAGTACATGTACCTGGATGTAGTCACATAGGTCAATTAGAGAGGTTTATTGGGGAAAATTATTGGTTATTGAGGTTGTGGCTTATTTTTTGCTTTAACCCATTGGAATTTGTCAGATGCCAGATATGGAGAGCGCCATCCCCAAGTTGACACATTCCTCCGGCACCAACTCCGGCACGGTGTACGTCATGGACAAGAATCGGTCCTGGAAGCCCGTCGTGTCCAACACCCCGTCGCCCATCCCGCCCATCGATTCCAAGTCGGATTTCTTCCAGACCATCGCCACGCCCGCCAAGAATCCACCGCCCCTCATGCCCACCCTCGGGGGGTTTGGCAAGTCTGGCAGCATGCTCTCCCGAATCAAGACGGCGCCCGCCGGCCTGAGCGACTTACTGAACACGGTTCCCAGCACCAGCAATATGCCGCTGGGTTTCCCCGGGCGGAGGGCCGATAAGCCGTTGGGAAGCAATGCCGCTGCGATCAACAAGGGGCTGACTCAGAAAGACGTGTCGCGGTTGTGGTCCAATGACGACATCAAGTTGGAAAGTGTGACACCAAAAGTTCAGGTAAGAATTAGCTGACCAACTGAAACATCTGAGATCCTTTACCTTCCAATCAATTTAACCTTAACCCAAATAATCCTGAATCCTCCAATTTTAATATTATTTTTCCACACCCTAGAGAGTTACTTTTAAAGCTATCATCGCATACACGTATATCGCATATTTGTGTCTGTTGCGTATTTGGGCTTATTTTAACTGAAGGACTTACTACACTTAGGGTCACAATAGGGACTGAAAATAGATTAAAACCTCTGTCCTTCAAATGAACCCTTTTTCAGTTGCTGGATTATGTTAAATTCAGCAAGTTTCGCACTTTGCTGTTGTTGGATTCTGTTGGATTCAGCAGGCTTCACACATTGATATTGTTGGATTCTGTTGGATTCTGTTGGATTCATCAGGCATAGCAATTTGCTGCCGTTGGATTCTGTTTGATTCAGCAGGCTTCACACTTTGCTGTTGTTGGATTCTGTTGGATTCAGCAGGCATCACAATTTGCTGTTGTTGGATTCTGTTGAATTCAGCAGGCTCCACACTTTGCTGTTGATGGATTGTGTTAGTTTCAGCAGGCTTCGCACTTCGATGTTGTTGGATTCTGTTGGATATAGCAGGCATCACACTTTGTTATTGTCAGATTCTGTTTGATTAAGCAGGCTTCACATCCTGCTGTTGTTGGTTTCTGTTGGATTCAGCAAGTGTTACACTTAAGTGTTGTAAGATTTGTTTGATTTGGGAGGCATCATACAATGCTGTTGTCAGATTCTGTTGGATTTAGCAGGAATCACAAGTGTTAATATCTTTTCTGACCCTGTGTGTACACAGAAACCAGCGGAGGAGGACATAGATGATGAGGAAGAAGAGAACATGGGACATGCCGAGACTTACGCCAACTACATGCCATCCAAACGTAAGCACACCCTACATGTATATTTTGCATTTGTCACCACTTTTAAACCACTCACATTTCAAAGAGATAGATAAACATGTAGTTCAGAAGAGAACCATTTGCTGAAAGTTGGCATCATGCGACCACAACATCCAATTTTGTACACAATGTCAATACACGGGGTCTATATCTTTGTGCACGCTCTTCAGTAAGTTAATTTTTTTTTCCTCCTAACAAATTTCCATCTTTGAGTGTTTCATAAACAAAAAAGCTTCTTTAGGTTTCTTTTTTTATTGCGGGGGGGATTGTCTTTTCCCACAGACCCACCTGTCGAGTAGGCTGGTTCCTGTCGCTTCTCAAATGGGCTTGGAACCAGTCTCATTTGCAAGAATTAAGTTATTGTCCCGAATTAAACCGGCCAAATTTGAAATTTGTAAAGTAACACATTACTAAATGTAGGCCAATTTATTATTTTTTTTAAGATGATGGCTCAATTTTAAAAAAATTGGTCGAAACTCAGAAATTGCACAGACAGTACATTTTAAGGCATTATCCCTAACCCTGCTATTAATGTAACAGAAAGTAACAAAGGTAAAAAGTTGTTGCATACTGTTGCATTTTAATAGCAGACAACTCAAGTCCCCGTGCTTTGTTGCATTTTGTTGCATTTAGCAGGGTAATGCTCATAGTGCCAAGGCAATATAACAGAATCCACTGTTGCATCTGGTTACATTTAGCAGGGTAACTGCTTGGTGCCAAGGCTGGTATGCACTGGGTTCACTGCACAATGCAACGGAATCCACTACTTGCAATTTGTTGCATTTAGCAGGGTTGGCATTTCAGCCAAGTTGCATTTTGTTGCATTTTGGCAGTGTGCCTATAGAAGACATGTTGGGGGTTAGGTTATTACCAACTTTTTTCCCCCTTTACCTTATCCTGCAGTGAGGATAGGCCTACCCCACCCGGACCCCGTCGTAGAGACCAGCTCCATGGCCAGTGTGCAGCCCCCTAACATCTACTACCGGCTCAGCATTCCTGAAGAGGTCATTGACCGGAGACAGCTGTCGGCCTTGCAGCTCGAGTCCATCACCTACGCCTGCCAACAACACGAGACCATGCTGCTGAGTGGGGAGAGGGCAGGCTATCTCATCGGTAAGGCTAAGACTAGGCCTGGGCGAGTAGTGGATTTTTCTACTCAAGTACTTGCAAAGAAATTGCTCCCGAGCAAACGAGTACTTACTAGTAGTAAACCGAATTCCCATAAGAGCAGAAAAATGACATATACGTTGGTATGACGTGAAGAAACTTACAAGCAAATAGCATGCAAGTCACTCCACATTCTTCAGCACTGAGATATCCTTACTGTGCAACGTTTGGGTCATTACTCTCATGTAATCTTATGTTTACTGCACACACATTAAAGATATAGTACAAAATATGTGGAATAAAACTATTTTTAAAGAAAAACCAATTGGCATCTTTCATTGTTACAAATACAAAAATCAAAACTATACAGGCCATTTTCTTAGTATTTTACTTTTTTGACATGTCGATAAATGTAAACTTTAAACAGCCATGTCTTATCGAGGGAATGTCCGATTGAAGTGCAACAAACAGTATTGAAAGGAGAATTTAATTCTCTGTCCTAATACCCGCAAACCCTCATATCGATCTCTGCCCAGTTGTGTCTCATTTTGCCAGAACGCCTTACATATTGTAAACCACTTTGTTTTGCCTCAAAGAGCTGGGTACATGTACATGTACATCAGATTGGAAAACGCCGGGATATAAGAGTAAACGGTGACAAAAGATCCGCATGTGCATTTTTTTACAGTTGTCTGTCTGCAATACTGTACTGAGTTTTGTTCCCTTTTGTTCTTCAGGTGATGGGGCCGGTGTTGGCAAAGGCAGAACTATAGCGGGCATCATCCATGAGAACTATCTGCTGGGAAGGAAGAGATCAATCTGGTGAGTGTGGAGCCTGCGTGGCAGTAGTGCTCAGCATCTTAAGAACAGCATAGACTGTAATAATAATGGAGTCTTATATAGCGCACGTATCTACCAACAATTAAGTACTCAAGGCACTGGAGATTAAGTCTATTATTAAAGAAAGGTAAATAAAGTTTATGAGAAATATGAGACCCAAGGTGCTGCAGTGCATATTGCAGCCACTGCCAGAAACACCGGGGGAAACCCCTTCTCTTAGCGATAAGTGTTACTGGGTTCTTTAATGTGCATTACACAACACACGGGACCTACGGCTTTACGTCCCATCCGAAGGACGAAGCAATAATGGTCAAGTGCCTTGCTCAAGAGCAGAGGCACCATGTTCCCACAGTCAAGATTCGAACCCATGCACCACAGCACACGAGTCAAACACTGCAACCGACTTAAGAAAGGGTCATGTCTTTTGTCGAGTCTGCTTTGTTGTACCCTTTATTTAATATTTTTTTCTGAGAGAATTTAAACATACTGCTTCAAACTGCATACTGACTGCATTACAAACTGCATACTGACTTTTCAATCCTAGCATTTGAGAAAGATCCACTAAGATTAAACGTCCGCTCAGGCCTCGAACTGTTAGGATTTTTTTCTTATTATAAAACAGGTCATGTCTTTGAATTTGTTTGCCAGTTTGTTTTGGATTCGTCAGCAAACATTGACTGATGTAAAACGAAGTAGTCTCCATGGTCATTCCCTTGTCTATTGTAGTAGCTCCCACTGAGGCTTTTTCTGCATTTTGTGTAACAAGTCTTATTCATTTTTGTCACGTGTTAACAGGTTCAGCGTGTCCAACGATCTCAAGTTTGACGCCATGAGAGACCTGAAGGACATCAGTGCAAACATTCCAGTCCATTCCCTTAACAAGGTATGTATTAACCCTCTCCCTACCACATTGTTTATTTGACTTCGCTCTCCCGAAACCAAATAAGCCATTTGCGATTGACCTATGGGCTCCGTGCGCCAACGAAAGAGGGCGCCCTTTTACCTAGCAATGACGTCCCATGGGTGGGACATTTAGCTAGTTGACACACACTGTTCCTTTTGTGTGACGCACGTACACCAGGGGATTTGTACTATGTACACGCGGTGGTATGGCCGCGCGTCACGGCAAAATTGCAGTCAGGCAAGATAATGTTGGTTGGTCACCCCCAACTGTACTTTCTTTGCCGGTGAGGGGTATTTATGAACAGAGTGGATACCCTTTGGAATTTAAATTTGAAAAGCCCTGGTACACTGACTTGTTCAGAATGCTTGACACATTTTAACTTTGAATTCTCCTGACCAAAGACACTGTTGCTAATCACATGATTCGGGGCAAGCTCTTGCATAGTTACGTAAGAGACGCTCAGCACCAGTGCATTGTTCACAATGGGTGAGAATGGCACAAAGACACCAAACCATTCCGGTGCTTGGGGTTGCTAGCGTAAGGCTTGTCCCGAAACACGTGATATGTGACCCGCTCCAGGAAAAGGTGATATAAGTTGTGCTATGCCTTTACGTGTAATGGCCTGCTGAACGTTGAGAGGGTGAAATTTTTCATCAAAATTTGATTTTCGTTTTTTTGTCTTAAATGACATCTTTGATACTTAAAGTTTAAGGATTCATTCACAGAAAAATTGAAGGGGAAAAATTAACCTTATTTTGTGTGCATTGTTCTCTTTATTTTACATCTAAAAACTATCATTTTAATCAATATGCAAATTGGCCAAAATATAGTAATCTAGTTTCAAAAAGTCTCTTTTTCCCAAAACTCATTGAAAATAATCATTGTAGAATCAATATCCAAAGTTTAAAAGTGATAGTAAAACAGGAACATGTTGGTTGCTAAGAGATTAAAAGTGAGCTTTTCATGCCCAAATCTACAACCGAGCCAGCTATTTCAAAGCCTGTTTTCTCAGTTGTGTAATTTGAACTCCATGGAACTAATTAAAATGCCAATTCGTCATATCTCCACAACGAGAAGGGCTATAGAGCTGTCTCATATACCAAATGAAAGCTTACATTGTGGGCTTTCCAGTCGTGCATGAGGAAATCACTAGTGCATGAAAATTGGCCACAAGTTTAAAACTCATTCTAACCCATATTTTCACTGTCAAGGAGTGATTCAAATCAAAGGTGCTGTGTGTAAAGTTTGTTCCGTGAACTTTACTTTTTTATGTGATGTAAAAATCAAGGCCATATTTGCAAAAATAAGAAAGTGATGCCTGTTTGTTGATCTGACTGCAATCCTTTTCACCACATGAACAAATGACTGCACTGGTTCGCTCCTCAGGTACCCGAAAGTGGACCATTCTGAAAAAATGAAAAGACAAAAAACACCATGTATGCTGTCTACACGTAGTAACATTTATATCCTAGGGAGTGATTCCTTGATTGCGGGGGACCTATTAAGTCAAAAACCCTAATTATGACCGGGTGGTGTCAGCTGAGGTGACTCTCCGACCCTTAACTTTGCAAAGGAATATCAGTTTTAGTGCATGAGAATATCCCCATCATTTACACAACCCCAAAAAAATGCCAAAGAAACTTTTTTTGTTGAAACTTTACTTCTTCCTGTATGTCCACAGTTCAAGTATGTGAAGATCAATTCCCAGGCCAACGGTTACGTCAGGAAGGGCATCATCTTCTCCACCTACTCGTCCCTGATTGGTGAGAGCCAGGCCACCCACAAGTATGACACGAGGCTCAAGCAGCTGTTGCGCTGGTGCGGCAAGGACTTTGATGGAGTTGTATCCTTTCCAAAATTGAATATTGTTCTGAGGCCTATATTTTCGTTCTTTTGGACTTCATGTTGTGTTGGCAGTGTGGCCAAGTGGTTAGGGTTCGTGACTCATGATCTGAGGGTCAGGGGTTCGAATCCAGCTGCTGGCTACGTGCCTGTTTGTTTTGCTCTGATAAAGTTACGAAAATGTGCGCCCGCCTTGTCTTTAAGAATGCGCGCGGCAAAACAATAATGAAATTGGTCAATCCGTTCAAAGAATATTGCAGTGACCCTATAACGCAGTGACCCTTAAACCTGTTTCGTCAAAAAAAAAAGCAATTTATTGTGTATTATTACTGTTTGGAACAACAAAGAAAATGACACAATACTTGTTTCAACAACTGTAGTACACAAAATCTTTATTAACAACCCTGGTTAGGCAAATAATATGATATATGAAATCCACTTCTTTTTAAAAAGATGGGCCTTCAAAAGGACATTGTTGAATATTTTTAACTTTTAAACTGAGGTTTTATCGCTGATGATGTTTGAAGACAATTATGACGACGATTCTTGAAATCAGATTTTTGGACAAAAGAGGTTTTAGGATCATTGTGTTTAAATGGTGATATTGTTTGAACAGATTGAGCAATTTCAGTGTCTAAAAGTAGCCTATGAAATCAGCTTTCCAGTCATTATTTTTGGTGCTATATATTTTGTTAAATATGAAATATAATTTTGGGGTTTGGGTTCTGCTTTTTTTTACTCACCTGTATAACCGAAAGAATATCTGAGACATAATTTTTATTAAGTATATTGATTTACAGTGGTATTGCTACTTCTTGGTATATAATGCTATTACTACTACTATTCCCATCGCTATACTATACCTATCACTATTGATATATATATATATCTGTTACCATTCCTAGTGCTATCACTGTTTCTTTTCCATTCCATTGAAATATCTTATATCGAAATGGCTGGGAAAATATCTGGTTTTTCTCTCAAATTTTGCGAAAGTATAAAAGCTGAGTATTTTGAAAAATACCCTTAACTAGCAATTTTCAACCAGATCATTTTTGATGAGTGCCACAAAGCCAAGAATCTTGTCCCAGTGGGTTCCGCTAAGCCGACCAAAACTGGCCTGACGGTGCTGGAGCTACAGAAGCAGCTGCCCAAGGCTAGGGTGGTCTACTGCAGTGCAACCGGTAGGTTTTTTCGATGTTGAGTTTTGGTTAAAATTTCTGTTGACATTTATCAAGTGAAACATTCTGAAAAATTTGTAGAAATCACTGTTTGGACAAAATAGGGTTGCTGCTTTTTGTTTAACCTGACAAGGCCCAATATCGGACGTGAGATATTATTATAAAAAAAAAAACCTATTAGGAGTGAAGATAGGATTGGTGCAAAATGATATGTGAAATTTATAAAAACAATCACAACACTGGGTATCTCAGTTTGCTCAACATAGTAAGTCTTCCGTGACCTGGTGATGTTGTACATTTCGTAGCTTCAGTGCAACAAGGTGGTAACTCCACTCTGCAAGAAAGTCGTATCTCGTGCGTATACGCTCCGTGCAACAAGGTCGTATCTCAACGTCCATTGACTTTGTGTGTACATCCGGGTTATTTTAACAGAGATACAACCTTTTGACATTCTGAAACTCGTGTTTCACGTACGGCCCATTTTAGGAGATACACCTTTTTGCATGGACATGACGATTTATTGTGTTCTGCCAGTGAAAGAAAATCACATTGTTTTAACGTTACCTTGAAAAGTATAGTGTACTGGGGTATCTAATTGGTGTAGCAGTAATTTTCTGGCCTTCCTTTGCTGTGACTGGTGCAAACACGTCCCTTTAATATCGATTCCGTTGGTTTTCCCGAAATGTCATTCTGGGGTTTTCTTCCACTACTAAAACTGTAATTTCCGGGACCCCACTGGAAATATGCCAAAGTGCAAATTTAATGAATAAATCCACTGAACTCAATTGGGCTGCAGTAGAATTTGAGTGCTGTTATTGAAATTCCAATAAAAAATTTTCAACTAGTCATACGTAAGGTTTTTGAACAAGAAAGCTGCACTTTGAGTGGAATCTGTACATGCAGGCATTCAGCCATTGTCTATGAATGGATGCGCTATGCAGCAGGAATTCAGCAATAGCAGTCCCCTGGCTTATCGGCTTTAATCGAGCTGCGTCTAGAGCCGTCAGCCGGTGTTAAGGGGTTAAAGCGAGTAATGTTTGTTGATTTTTTTTTGCAGGTGCCTCTGAACCCAGGAACATGGCCTACATGTCCCGGCTAGGTATTTGGGGGAAAGGCACACCCTTCCCAGACTTCAACGCTTTCATTCAGGCCGTCGAGAGGAGGTTTGTTATTTTCCTGTTCATAAAGTTTGTGAATTTCAAACATCCAGTCAGAGTAAAATACTGCTGATAACAGACAGTGCTGTGATGAGGGGTCCATCGCAAGTCTTCACAAGTCCTATTGAGTCATCCAGTCTCAAGACAACTCACAAGCTAGTCAAATGATCCGTGACGTAGGCATTCGTTTGTTGCTGGTTATCCCCTTTGTGATTGACTTCTGAATTGACTTGTGATTGCCTTGTAATGGCCTTTGACTCCAGTAAAATGTCAAGAATACAGCATGAACATCATCAAAACGCACTGCTCATATTAACCTTATCATGAATCACTAGACTGGCTCCCAGTCATTCATGTTGTTACATCCAAGAATCCGTTAAAAGCAATGCATATCCGTGATGACCTGTAAGTCATTTTCTATCTAAACTTTCAGGTCCCAAACTAGTTTTCCTAAAACAGAAGCTTGTCTAAGCTCAATAAGTATCCGTAAAGATCTCTCAAACGTGTTATTGTGTTTTTTTACAATGCCTTTTTAAAACTATTTCAAGGGGTGTTGGTGCCATGGAGATTGTTGCCATGGATATGAAGCTGCGAGGCATGTACATCGCTAGACAGCTGAGCTTCCAAGGCGTGACGTTCAACATCAACGAAGTCAAGCTGAGCGTAGAGTTCAAGAAAATCTACAACAAGGCCGTCGGTCTGGTAAGATTTTCAACTATTCTTGTGAAGGGATAAACAGGGGTGCAAAGAGCTATATTTCGTATCCATGCTGGCCACCAGGCACTTGTGTTCATCTCAAGTTGTAGTGGCGATGTGCATCTCATGTTGCCATAGTGATATGACAAACTATGGCATCGGGTACTGCTGATAAGGCTTGATCTCCGACCACGAACAGTTGTAGAAATTAGATGTTTGAACACGATTAAAGGGGCGCTACAACGTGAAATCCCCGAAAATTACATGTTTTGGATTGTTTACTTATACTGTTTAAAGGTCTAGTTGAAAAGAAGCTAACCTAATGTCTTATTAGACTTACGAGAAAAGACTAAAAACAAACCCTAGTTGTTTACATCAGACACGACGGAGTAAGCATACATTTTTCCTGCCGTTTTCATTCAATGTACGATACAAGTTGTGTGTGTCGCATAAATTACACATGGCACCAATGGACAAATGTTTCTTACATGCCCGCAGAAGGCAACCACTTTACGGGTGGTATCACAACCAGCAGTAGCTTTGAACAGCCCATTTTTTTGGAATCGCAAAAGTGGACCCCGAAAATTTGTTCTCACAGGAATAACACAAGAATAACACCAAAACGCCCAGTTTTTTGAAGGATAGTTGTGTGGATGTTTATATCCTACTATTAAATCTTCTTTCGGATTAACATCCTTTCATTCAAAATGCACTTTGTAGCCGAATTAGGCGTATCCCAGGACGTAATGTCCCTTTAAAAAGATCCAGAACTTTTGTTGGTATAATAGGCTTCAACAGTTCCATAGATTTTCTTTTTTTGCCCCATCAAGGCCGGTTCATGCCTCATACAGGGCGAATGTGAAGTATATTTTCTTGTTAAAAAGCCGCGAACTCTTGCTGATAAGTCAGAAACTTTTGGGCAATTCCACGGTTACTCACGTTACATTTTTGATGTATTTTTGAGTTTCCTTGGGCTGTAATGACCTTACTGAAACGGTTTAATAACTGTTATCCCCATGGTAGATAGAGTAGACCTAGACCTACCTAAGCACCAAAGATGACATCCAGAAAAATGTGTTATGTATGATAAACAAGATGCATAATTTCAATTATTCACGTTACATTTTCTTGTAATCTTTGGTGCTTAGGTAGGTCTAGGTCTACTCTATCTACCATGGGGATAACAGTCATTAAATCTTTTCAGTAAGGTAATTACAGCCCAAGGAAACTCAAAAGTACATCAAAAATGTAACGTGAGTAACCGTGAGTTTGCCCTTTGACATTTGCGTTGCCTCTCACACTGAATATGAATGTACCTTTACAGAAGCTTACAATTCTTTTCCTTTTTCTTTCTGTAGTGGCTAGCCGCCCGGGAGAGGTTCATCAAGGCCGCGGATCTGATCGGCGCGGAGCAGCGCATGCGTAAGTCTATGTGGGGTCAGTTCTGGTCGGCCCACCAGCGATTCTTCAAGTATCTCTGCATCGCTGCCAAGGTGCAGCATGCTGTCAAACTGGCCAAAGAAGCTGTCAAGATTGGCAAGGTAACAACTCTTACAGTGGTTATTATTACACCTCATACATATTCATAATATTTCACCCTCATCATGTAAGGGTCCTTTGATATTTACCCTCATCATATAATGATATTTTAATATTAACCCTCTTCATATAAGGATATTTTAATAGTTTACCCTTTATCATATTAAGGATCTTTTTATATTTTCCCTCTCCATATAAGGATATTTTAATATTTCACCCTCATCATAATTATAAGGATCATTTAATATTTACCCTCATCATATAAGGATATTTTTAATTTACCCTCTTCATATAAGGATATTTTAATAGTTTACCCTTATCATGTAAGGATCTTTTTTATATTTACCCTCTCCATATAAGAATATTTTAATATCTCACCCTCATCATATAAGGATATTTTAATCTTTATATTTTTCATATAAGGTTATTTAAATATTTCATCCTCTTCATATCAGTATGTTTTAATGTTTCACCTCTTCGTATAAGGATATTTTAATATCTCAACCTCAGAATAATGATATTTAAATACTTACCCTCTTCACATAAGGATTATGGATATATAAATAATTCACGCTCTTTTTATAAGGATATTTTAATATTTACACTCTTCATATCAGGATATTTTAATATTTCACCCCTTCATATACAGATATTTCATATCCAAACCTTCTTTAACTCTTTCAGTGACCGCGAAATTTGAAAAGTTTAACCCTAAAGTGCCCAACTTCGAGCGTTTTTGTTAATTGTTCGAAATTCTGTAAAACAAAAAGTAAATAAGTTTTACTCACTAAATTTGTTGTTGCTCTCTGGTATATCCTTGATATATTGGAAAGTCAAAAGTAGTCACAAACATAGTGATACACCCTGAAACACTGGCCTGAACAAGGCACTTTTTGCAGAAAATACGAGATTAAGTGCTGCGCCCTCTCGCAAGAACTCGAATGAAAAAATAAATACATGTCGTACATGCATGAAAATGGTACCATTAGAAAGAGCGAGAGCACCCCCTTTTGATAACATATTTACTCTACCTCGTACATGTACGAGGTTTGGCAATTTTAAGTACGAACATTACCTCGTACATGTACGAGGTTGGCGCTTTTGTACTAACAAATATACCTCGTACATGTACGAGTTTGGCACTGAAAGAGTTAAGGGCTTCATTATTAGGGCTATCATTTTGTCTGAGCACTTTTCTTATTATACTGACCAATTCAAAAATTGTACCTTGGATGTCTTTGTCTCCTTACAGTGCGTAGTCATTGGTCTGCAGTCCACGGGTGAGGCTCGAACCCTGGACGCCTTAGAAGAAGCAGGAGGAGAACTCAACGACTTTGTCTCGACCGCAAAGTAAGTCCCAAAAATACTCATAAAAATCTGAAATGTGCCTTACTTTTCTTTCAGATATTTCATTAAGCCTAACCTGTCAGACGCAACAAGGCACAATATTTACGATTTGTCTCTTTTTTGTCTGGTTTTTTTCTTCTTTTTTTTAAATGTTGTATTTCAAATTAGGTTTTGCCCTTCATCGACGTTTAAACACTGTATACTCAGTGTGTTACCTCCCGAGTTAAAGTTGGAAAAATCACTCGGGTGGGACTCGAACCCACGACCTCCTGCTTTCTAGTGCAGATGTCTTACCACTCGACCACTGAGCTAACGGGATCGGTTGGCTGGTTGGAATCTTATGTACATGGCAGCGGGTACCGCATAAACTATTATAAGATGGAATTTTGCGTCGGGGTGATATAAATCAAATTATAAATGTTGTATTGTTTCTGGTAATGAAACCAAGGATTCTGCAAAAGCGCCCTAGGCACTGTAGCTCGCAGGCCTGAACAAACCTGTAGAAAGGAGACATTGAGACAAACCTGTAGAGAGGAGACATTGAGAAGAAATGAGAAGAAGAGAGGAGACATTGAGAAGAAATTACAGTTTTAGAGGATGGAAGAAAACCCCAGAAGAATACTTTGGGGGGAACCCACGCAATCAGGTAGGGACTGAAAACCCAATCCACATGTGGACCAGGGCAGGAATTGAACCCGGGCCATAGCGGTGGAAGGTGAGGAAAGTAACCACTGCGCCAACCTGAACTCCAGCACTGACAATTGTTTTATCTCCCATCAGGAGTGTGTTTAGTACCTTGATTGAGAAGCACTTCCCAGCTCCCAATCGTAAGAAGACGGCCAGCATGTTTAATCTGAACAGCAACAGCGGCGCCAGCAGCCCTGCCTGGAGCGAGAGCAGTCGAGGAGTCAAGAGAAAGAGAGGTGTGTGTTGCAATTTCAAAAATTGGTTTTTTTTAAATTAATTTTTATTTTACATCATCTTTAAAGGGAATATACATCATTTGCTTTTGCTGTAATTTTCAGAAATGGATGGAATTGGGGGGGGTTGGAAATATATAGCAAATATAGTTACACTGACTTTTTTGAAGTTTTTGGTTCGAAAATGCTATAAAAACCAAGAAAAACAATCATTTTCCTGTAGTCTGGTTCCCTGACTCCATATAAGAAGAAACAGAGCAGTTTACATACATTGGGGAATTGTAAGGTCAGGGAACCAGTCTAGCTGGCTTGTACCTGTTCATAGGTGTGTAATCGATTGCAAACAAGTGCGATGGTTAATTGGGGCCAGTATTTGAAAAAAAGCCAATTTTTCCAACGCTGGTCGGCCGACCATTTGATAAAAAAAAAAACACTTTTCTTGAAAATGACAGTATACCAGGTGCCATGATTTTACAGGATGCTTTACACTGTCATTCACTAACAGTCCAGCAAGGTATTTCAAAATGATTTGGTAGTTTTATTTTTTGATGTTTGCAAATGTTGTATTTTCCCTTTAATGAGGGTAAACTCTGATCAGTGCAAGGCACTGCTTTCCACGGAGGCCCTCAAGTTCATGAGAACTATGAGACCCATTATGTAACACCTTATAAGGATTTACAAGGTGCTGCGCCGCATATTGCAGCCGCTGCCAGAAACACCAGGGCAAATCCCTTCTCTTAGCGAAAAGTGTTACTGGGTTCTTTAACGTGCATTACACAACACACGGGACCTACGGCTTTACGTCCCATCCGAAGGACGAAGCAAGAATGGTAAAGTGCCTTGCTCAAGAGCAGAAACACCATGTTCCCATGGTCAGGATTCGAACCCATGTACCACGGCATACAAGTCGAACACCGTAACCATTGGACCACAGCACCCCATATTTTGAGGTGCCATTTTCATTATGCGTTCATGCTCAGATGTGTTCCACACTGGCACAGTATTCTAAATTTCCAGTTACCAGATTTGAAACCCCTCATATTCTGTCTTTCTTCTTCTGGTAGAGGGTAAGTCCAAAAAAAGGTCCCCTTTTTTTCCCCTTTTTGTCCCGTAATTTGCATACTTTATTTATTTCCCAAGTCTATTTAAAAAAAAAAAAAGATAAAAAATTCAGCTGTCCACCCCTGATAGTTTACTGTTCTACGAACTGATGAATACCCATTAAACACAATGAAACATGGACGTTTTCCCACCTCCATGATCGAACGAAAACTTGCAAAGGAAAACGAGACAATAATCGCCATCAATATTTCAGAGGAAAAAAAACAAGAGTTGACTTGTTCCTCATATTCAAAACACAAAGTCTGACAGTAAAAATAATGTTTTAGTCTTGACTCAAACGATTAAAACTTGTTTGTTTTTGAAAGCCTGTGTGTAATTTGTAATTAACCTATCGCGGTGGAATCGTGTCAACACAGCTTGTGAAATATTGTCCAATAACCTGATACACAAATGGACATGGAACGCACAGAATCTGAGACAAACGAAACTAAACATACAAAATTCCATAGTGTTGTCTAAGGGGCGTGGCTAACTCGCAAACGGCGATAGGCCAATAGCTTCCAATGGTATTCCATGGACAGCTATAAAAATAAGTTCTTTTTATTTGCATAACTGCTGATAGCATGGATCAATTTCAGTAATTCTTTTTTCCTTCAGTTGAGTGCAAGAACATGCTCTTTTAACACATGCTTCATTGATGTATCAAATTTGATTGCTTTTTGAGAAAACAAACTATTAGTCCGGGTCACTTTTTGCCTCACCCTGTATATGCTTCAGAAACGGCTGAAATGATGTAAAAAGTGTGCACCAATGTAAGGCATCATCTTCAAAGTCTTGAACATCTTTTGGTCTTTGTCTTTTTCCTCCAGACAAACTGACCAACGGCCTCAAGTCCAAGCAGCCCAAGCACTGGTGGGAAGAGGACAGCCGAGAGAACAGCCCCCTCAACGGCAACAGCAATAGCAACAGCAACAACACGGGCGGCGAGAGTGACGACAGCGACGTCATCTTACTGTCCTCCAGTGACAGTGACAGTGACAGTGACGATGACGATGTGTCCTCCAAGGGGTCCTCCAATGACGAGGACGACTTCAATCCATTCAGGGACAACTCTGATGACGGTACGTTGAGTAAAGTCTGAACTTTATTCCTTCTGAATCTTGTTTAACCCTTTCCTTACCATGGGCGACTTTTGTCGACAAGAAGAACCCCCCTGCTGGTTCCCATGGGCGACTTTAGTCGACCAGGAAACCACACACAGAACACCCTCAACACAGATATATGCACTACTTTTCAGAAAGGCGGCATTTTGACATGTTTGGCCGCCCATACATCAACCATATACCAGCTGAAAGAGTGTTTTCGGATCGTTCTAATGGTGTAGTTTATTCATAGTGTTGCCATTACAAAAAAATGAGAAAAGTGCTTTAGAAGTATCCACTCACAAATTGAGGTATGGAGTGCCATTTGGTCATGTGGTGAAATGGCTTGCAGTTTGATAAATGGAACCACATGAACAAACAGGCATAACTTTCTTATATTTACACATATGGACTTCATTTTTACATCACATGAAAGAGGAAGGTTCGAGAAACAAACTTTACACACAACACCTATGATTTAAATCACTCCTTGGCAGTGAAAATCTGGGTTGAAGAAAGTGAGTTTTGGACTTGTGGTCATTTTGTTCACGCTCTAGTGATTTGCGCATGACTGAGCAAACAATTTGGTCCTGGGGAGAGCCAAGTCAATAAACAATGTGGTAATGAAAGGGTTAATCCTAACCCTGCTAAATGTAACAAATGATGCATCAATGCTTAAAGCTACCATATACTTTTGGATTTAGCAGTCAACGTAAATATGTGAAGCACTGCGGTCCCATGGTTATGGTGTTTGATTCTCGTGCAGAGGTACGTGGGTTCAAACCCTGACAAGGTACATGGTGCTTGTGTTCTTGGGCAAGAGACTTTACTACAATTGCCTCTCTCCACCCAGGAGTATAAATGGGTACCTGTGAAGTCCAGAATGTACCTGTAGAGACCAGAATGCGCTGATCTTGAGCTGCTGCAAAACTGGTCTCATTGCCTGATGAACAGGGGTAATAATCGTGAAGCGCTTTGAGAGTTTTGGTATAAAGCGCTATATACATTGTAAGCACCACATTAATATTACTATCATCAGGACACTATTTAAACTGTAGTGCTGAGGCTGGTTTATGCAGTACACTGTACATTGCCAAAGAAAATCCACTGTTGCATCTTGGTGCATTTTGTTGCTTTCAGCAGGGTACTCCTTTCAGCTATGCTACGGTTCTTATTAGGGTTCTCGTTCCAACTTTGTTGCATTTTGTCACCAGATGAAACCCGATTCAGCTTTCCAGCAAGAAGTGTACAAGTAGTGTATAAATCCACACGCATTGTATCTGCAGGACGTTTCAAGTTTTCTGCAGCTCAACAATGTTGATTTGAGATTTCTTCCCCACAAAAGAATCTCTTTTCCCATGAAAATGAGGGTTTGCAGGTATTAGGAAAGAGAATAAATTTCTCCTTACAATGCTGTCTGTTGCACTTCAATCAGACATTCCGTTGATAAGTTATGGCTATTTAAAGTTCACGTTTATCGACATGTCAAAATTGGTGATGGTTCTCAACAGACTTTGTTCAGGACAACAGTTTGCTTAGTAATATTATTGTACAAATTATTTTTGTATTTTAAGCTTCACAATTTGGCTCTGGGTTTACTTGACAATAGGTCTCTTTCCAAATGACAACACTTCTTACAGATTGCCATATGCATCGGCAGTTTGGGCATCAAGTTTTCGTGACGCGCATCGGCTGCGCCGTTTTACGAAGAAATTTCGAGCAACATGTGCGCATATTTAGAACATTTTGCACACTGCGTGCTCACGCACCTGATGGCGTTGAACACACATTTGTAGTTTTCCTACGAAGATAGTGTCCTATGAGAGAAATCTACAGTAAACTCTGGCCAAGTCGACATCGTACAACTCGTCAAATCGCTCAAGTCGGCCATCTGACTAATGTCCCGATTGTCTGTAATGCACTTCCATTGATTTTTTTATTTCTAAGTCGGCTTTTATAAGTCGCCATTTCGCTCAAGTCGTCGTGTTACTCTCGGTCCCCTTTCCATAAAAAGGGTAAGAAAATCCTTTGTGTAAGTCGGCATTCAACAAATCACGCAATGGCATTGACTTCCTGTACTACTGTTGGCAAAGAGTCGAGTGAAAAGTGGTTTCGCACGGCCCGTGATCGCTGCATGCATCGGTGTCGAAAAAGGGTGTCCTACTGGATACATCGCATATGCATCGTGAGCATATCAATACCAGTACCCCCCTCTAGGCTGTACGCATGTGCTCTGTCCATTTTGGGAGTCGTCTTATTGAATGTTTATTGCTGCAGTCAATGCGTGCGTGGTATATACCGGAGCACGCACGTATTTAATTTGTTACTGTGCACGTACACATGTGTATCGTGGTCTCCACTATCATTACCCCAAACGTGATGATACAATTCAAGGATTAATTTGCTGGATTCAACTCAAGCATTAAGGAGATAATCCAGGGTAAATCGAAGCCAATTAATAGTGCAATGAATCACGCGTGCAAAATACCATTCATAGTGTTACTCTCGGTCCCCCTTCCATAAAAAGGGTAACAAAATCCTTTGTGTAAGTCACTATCATTACCCCAAACGTGATGATACAATTCAAGGATTAATTTGCTGGATTCAACTCAAGCATTAAGGAGATAATCCAGGGTAAATCGAAGCCAATTAATAGTGCAATGAATCATGCGTGCAAAAGACCATTCATAGTGTTACTCTCGGTCCCCCTTCCATAAAAAGGGTAACAAAATCCTTTGTGTAAGTCGGCATTGAATTAATCATGCATATGCATCGACTTTCTGTACTGCGGTTGGCAAGAAGTGTCGAGTGAAAAATTGTTTGGCACGGCGCGCTCGTGATCGCTGCATCGGTGTCGCTGCACAGCCAAGCCAAAAGGGTTTCCTACTGCATGCATCGTGTGAGCATATCAATACCAGTACCCCCTCTAGTCTGTACGCATGCGCTCTGTCCATTTTTGGGGTCGTCTTATTGAATGATGCAGTCGATACCCTGCAAGTGCAATGATGCAGTCAATGCATGTGTGGTAAACTGTGAAGGTACCTATTACTATTTTGTACAAGTGGTCTCTACTATCCGTTTCCCAAACGTGATGATAACATTTGAGGATTAATTTGCTGTATTCAACCCAAGCATTAAGGAGATAAACCAGGGTAAATCGAAGCCAATTAGTGCGCTGAATCCTGTGTGCAAAAAGGCCATTCATGTCAGTCGGCAAAATGACGACTTACAGCAGATGTCGGCATGCGCGTAAGTCGTCACAAATTCTCGGGTCCCGAAAGTGCCGACTTAGCCGGAGTTTACTGTATATTAAACTCTCTGTGGTCAAGGAAAGTTTTTTGTTTGCATCAACGGTGTGAAACTTTGATATTCTCACAGATCCCTGGGTGACTCGCAAATCCAAAGTCAAAGAAGAGAAGACCAAGAAGAAGAAGAAGAAAAAGAAAGCCGAAGATAAGAACCTGCCGATGATGCGTAACCTGGAAGGGAAGATGAACAGCGCCCTCTATGCGGCAGGCATCCTGACGAAACCCAGACTGCCCAACACCCTGGCCACCATGTCATCAATACCTGCAGGCAAGTGAAGAAGCTCATGTTTGTGTCGCCTAAATGAAGCTTTGAGAGACACTTACCAGCCCTAAATTCTTTGTGACCGTAGCCCCGTATGTATGTTAAAGCTATAGTCCATCCTTTGTAATTAGTGCATTTTGTTCGTTTGAAGCAACAAAAGTGTTCAAAATCTAATGAAGGATACTGAACAACTTACTTGATGAAGTTTCAGCTCAGCTTCAGCTTCATATTCCGAGAAAAACAGCATTCTAGGATCTCAATTTAAAATCAAAAGTTGCTAAATCATGTTTCGAATTGTTTTGAATTGCAGCTTTACGCGATGTTGCGCACTGATCCAACGAATTATAGCAACCGCGCGCGCCTGTGCGTCGTTCCAATGCTTGTGCGCGCTGCGCCGAATAACAAAACGAACAACTAATTTAAATTTTCCTACGGTGCTTCTTAAGAAGCACCGTTGGAAAGGCCTTCTTTCGTTGATTACTTCAAAATGACAGCTTGCCAGAAAGAATAATTTCACAGGGAGTTTAGTCCCCTTACTATCTTTCAACCAAGTATGTTTTTCAACAATAATTACGCCAGCTACTTTTCGGATAGCTGCAAATGATGGACTATAGCTTTAAAGTTTCAGTTCAGTTTTTGACAAAAATGTATAACTCCTACATGCTTTCGTGGATTTTGATGAAACAGGAATGCAGTGACCTTTGGATGGGAGGACACAATTCTTCAATGGATTACTGAGGTCAAAGGTCATGTAGGGGTCATTAGATGTCATTGTTCCAATGTTTCTTTGTCTACAGAATTTGATGGATTTTAATATTACTTGGGTGGGGGTTGATGACAACTCTTCAGAAATTTGAGGTCAAAGGTCATCTAGGGGTCAATGCAGGTCATGAGTCATTATGAAAAAATGTAAAAATGCTATTGTTTCATAGAAACAAATACATTCCAGAAACCAAGCATTTCTTGAACTGAAAATAAACAGCTTCTACAAGAATAAGAATACAAAACATAAGGATCAACCTCGAAAAAAGGTTACACTTACGATATTCTGATTGGGCTGTAGCCGTTCTCCTAAGTGATTTTATATACATTATATACTCAGTGTTGTCTGAAAAACTTGCAAGCTTTACTTGGACGAGACTCAAACTCACAGCCTCCGATAAACTAGTGGGGATGTCTGACCACTTAACCACCAAGCTTGCCGAAATTCCAAACTGCAATTACTACCCATCAATCTCCTCCCATTTTGTTAAAAACTTTTGAATTTATTTTTCTTGTAGCGACCAACTCCATGCTTCTGCCGGGAATGGACGCCTACGAGAGGGCTATCCTGATGAAGCAAGAACTCCTGGACATGTGTGAGGAGATCGGTTCGGTCCTTCCCAACAACACCCTGGATGAGCTCATTGATGAGCTGGGTGGGCCTGAGAACGTGGCCGAGGTAAATTATTTGTTAGCTTTGTGTCCATGAGCTAGATGCTTTACTGTTATTGATTCATATCAAGCTTGTTCCTACCCAACAACACCCTGGATGAGCTCATTGATGAGCTGGGTGGGCCTGAGAATGTAGCCGAGGTAAAGTATTTTTATAGCTTTGTGTCCATGGGATAGATGCTTTACTGTAATTGATTCATATCAAGCTTGTTCCTTCCCAACAACACCCTTGATGAGCTCATTGATGAGCTGGGTGGGCCTGAGAACGTGGCCGTGGTAAATTATTTGTGAGCTTTGTGTCCATGAGCTAGATGCT